ATAAATCCTGAAATCCAAAATTATGAAATTTTTATCAAATTTATTGATATTTATACATTTTAATATTTTATTAAAATCTAATAATTCCTTAATTTTTAAATTCTATCTTATTTTCTTTAATTTCTAAAAAATTTTACAATATTCTACATTTCTACAATATTCTAGATATTTATGCTTCTATAAATATATTATATACTAATTACATTTGACTAATAAACTATTAATAATTAAAATATAAACATAACTATTTTAAATAAATATAACTATAAATAAAATCTTTATATTATAAACTAAAATATAATAAATAATTTTTTATTAAAATTATGATTTACAACATTAGTTATACTTTTTAGATTAAAAGAAAGCCATATTTGATTAATTAAAAAAAGAAATTGCTAGCATTATATTATTCTAAATTACTTGAATTTATTACATCTATTTTTTTATATAATTATTCTTAATAATTTCATATTGAATTACTTTAACATTATCATTTTTCAATTACTAATATATTTTAAATTATTAATTTTTTAATAACTTAGTTGTATTCTAAAAAGAGTAAGGAATTTGCAAATTTACCTAAAATATCTTTTATATTATATATCTTTTACTAAATTATTTCATAAATTTATATAATTATATTTATTTATATAGCAAATAGCAATTTAGTCAAATATCTTGAATTTAAAACTTAAAAATCTTTAATTTATTGCATATTTACTGAATCTATTTTAAAATTAATATGAAATTAACTTTATAAAGTTGAGTTTTTACTTTTAATAATTTTTTGATTAATTTATTTTAATCTTTAATCTTTTAATAAAAAAAATTAATTTAGATATATAGTTATTCTATTTATTTATAAGATAATTATATCAAAGATTTAAGGTAAAAATAGGATTCTACCTACTTCTAAAATAGGCTATTCCTAAGCCTAAAATAAGGTTTATATGGTTTATATATAAAATTTATTAAAATTTTACTATAAAAAAATTTTTATATTACATTATTATAATTTTTTTTCTTTTTGACTAATTAACTAATAGAATTTAAACAAATTCTAAAATAAGGTTTCATATAAAAGTTGAAATTTTCTATGGTAATATTTATTAGTTATAAATGGGATCTTATAAAAATTATATATAAATTTCTTTGCATTTACTATAAAAGAAAATTTTATTTTATATTATTATGATTTTTTTTCTTTTTAATTAATTAACCAATAAAATTTAAAAAAAAGTAAGATAAAAATCATTAGTAAAGGACTAATTTTCTACAGTGAACTTTATTATAAATTAAGGATACTTGCTAAAACTATTTTTTCAAAATTTTAGTTTAGTCAAAATTCAATCTGAAACTATTTTTTATAATAAAATTAATTGCTTAAACTGTTTTTATGTTTTTTTAAAACTAATTATAATTTAGAAAAATTTAGATTTACCAATTTTTTTATTAAAAATAAAGTTTTTGGGTTTCAGATTTTTGAATTTTATTGTTAAATGAATTTTGAGCAGTAACACTATTATAAAGAGTGATATAAAAAGTTGTGGAGTTTGATGGAGATGATGAATGGAGTACGGTCTCCTATGTAACAGGTTACTCAAGTAATAAATAATACGATGGGCCAAACACATGATTCAGAATAGGTTGAGATACTATTTATTACCTAAGTACGCTTTACACCCTTTATGTTACATACCACCAAATGTCACTGTACTCTACTCAACATCCTTACCAAACTTCACAACTATTCGTCTCACTGTATTATAAATAAGCAAAATTCTCTAAAAAGGCCAGGTAAAATTAGTTAATGTATGCCAAATATGAAAAAGTTTACTACTATTATATTTACTTAAATTATATTTGATAAAAAGAAAAAAAAAATATTTATTTAGCAGAAATATAGTTTTTACTTTACTTTTTTATTATCATATATAAAATAATTAATAGAACACCTTTAATTTTATACATATTTATTTTTTAAAGAAATTTTTTTCAATTTATTTTTCACTTATTTATGCAAGTTTTATATATTTTAAAAATAACTTTTATCAAACTTTTAAAATTATTATAATTTATAAGAATGCATTTTATAAATTGATTATATATATTGATTCTTTTAGTAAAAAATAATTATAAAATCAAATCATCATGAAATATTAGATTATAACTAAAATTACTAGATTATATCATCCAATAATATATTAATCATTATAAGAAATGTTATTATTAAATATTAAATTTTTATAATTAATTAATTATATAAAAAATGTAAAGGTAAATAATAGTAGATATTAAGAATTAAATATATATAGCATTATTGTATGAAGATTTTATGAAATATTACTTTTGTTATCTAATATTTTATAATATTTCCATCTTTTAAAATTTCATATAATATAAAAAGTAAGTATGAAGTTCAATATATTATCTGTATTTATATATATCACATTTAAAATTCCTCTTAATTTATTTTTGCAATTATCCAAAATTTTATTAAGATTAACTCTATTTAAAGTTTATTGATTATATTCTTTATATTTTTATCAGCTTTTTCATTTTCAACATTTTTACAACTTCTGCATTTTCATCAGTTTTTCTTATTGATACCAGCAACCTTTTCTTATTCTTCCTGTTATTTTACAACTAAAAATGGCTAATTTTTTGAAATATTTTTATAGATTTAGATATAATGGCTTTCAAAACAATTGTGCAATTATTTTTTAAAATTTTTAAAATATATCAAGATATATTTGAGGTATTTTTGAAATTAAAATATTAAAATAATATCAAAGCAAGTTAATTATATTATAATAATAAAATGGGTATTGCTAAATATCACCAGTGGTGATCGTCACTACACCACTTAATTCTGGCTGAAAATTATAATTTTGGCCAGAGTTAAAAAATACATCATAAATTTTTTTTCAAAAATTTCAATTTAAATAATAAATGTGTAAAACAAACCTGAGTAGATACTAATCACACTAAAATTTGAAAATTTGACTAAAAAAAATCTTTTTTAAAACAAAAAATTGTATTTTGCTTATAAAATCAAACTTTCCTATTTTTCTCAAAAACTATCTAAACAACAGCCTTTATAATCTAAGGCAAACTTGTTCTACCTATAAATTTACATATAGTAATGATATTTATATTATAATTAGAATAATATCTCAGTCAAAAAATTTTGAAAATTCAAAAAATATTTTACATGTAGTAACGATCACCACTGGTGATATTTAGCAATACCCTAATAAAATAATAACAAAAATATTAAAAAATTATTGTGATATTATTTTGAGTTATTTTTATAGACTTAAATATAATATAATTACAAAATAATAACAAAAATATAATAAAAACATTTTGATGTATTAAATGTATTTTTGTAATATTTTAAAATTATTACAAAATCATTTCAAAAAATTGGCCATTTTTAGTAAAGTAAGACTATGATTTTTTACTTGTTTTAATTATTTTTTAGCAAATTCCAATACTAAAAAATCTTTTCCATTCATTTTAAGGAAAAAATCACAGTTATTTTTCTTTTTATATCTTTTTTAAAATTACTTTATTTTAAAAGTATTAAATTTTTTCTTCTACAAAACTTAATAAATTTAGCCATATTATATTTTTTAACATCTTTAATAGAAAGGTTAACTATTTTTTAGCAGATTTTTTTTATAAATAAGCAAACCCATTCTTAAAGGTAATATATAAATGTATTTATATTTCAATTTTTTTTTGTTTCTTTTTTCTTTTTTATAATAATACCAAATAATCTATTAACCATTGTAAATAATAATATAGGAAAAATTATACTAGAGTTGAGTGCCAAAACTCTTTGCTAAAATTTCAAAATAAATTTTAGATTTCAGCAATAGTTTGAGATTTTGATATTAATTAGCTAGAAATCTACCTCAAATTATTGCTAAAATTTCAAACTGTTATCAAAATTCTGGACCATTGCTGAAATTTCAGACTATTGTTAAAACTTAAAATTGGATGATAAAATCTCAAACCTATCAACTATATTTCTTGCCAAAATAATTTCAAACTGTTGCTAAAAATCCAAAACTGATGCTAAAATTCCATATTATTACCAAAATTCAACTCTAAAATTTGATTTAAAATTTTGGCAGAAAGTTTTGACATTTGTTATAGCCAAAACATTTCAGTACCCAACTTTAAATTATACCCCTTTTGGCATGATGTTATATATACAAGCTGTAGATCTTGGAATTGCAAAGTTTTCATGCACCTACAACATATAATTTTAATTGCTATTAGCCTATTACCCATTAAGAATTGTCAAGCCCTTTCCTTTTATAGCCTATTCAGGTTGTCTTCTTTAATTTTTTCTATTGAAAAGAATTTTCAGATTTCTTTAACACAAAAATAACAATTTTGGGAAGAAGTATTAATACCCTGAACTGGCTGTATCACAAAAATTACATTTTTGATCCTTCTTATATTACTTTCTTAACTGGTCAAAATATGATTATGTATAATAAAAATGTTCCTTTTTTAACCTGAAATGTGATATGTGATAAAGAAAGAAATATTTAACAAAGACAGCATATTTTTTTATTTCTACAATATTGATAAAATTAAAATAATTTTATTTTAATTACAAAAGATAGCCAATAAGTAGATTACATTTAAGAGTAGTGGTAATAAATACTAAACTACAACTGCATAAAACTAAATATTAAATAAAAAAAATAAATTATTTTGTCATTAATCATTAATGATAAAAAAATAAGTAATATATTGTTTTTTTCAATGTGTCTATAATAGAAAAATAACAACGCATCAATGTTTTTTGTAGGTCAAGAAAAGAAATTTTTGTCATACATAATCATGCATGGTAATACGAGGAGGGTCAAGAACGTAATTTTTGCTTATTCGCTAGAATAGCAGTATAGCACCGGTTTTATATGATCACGCGAAGTTTATTTATACAGTTTACAGTAGGATCGGCATCGTGCATGAATAGAGTCAAAACCTTACGTCATACGCGTGCGATCAACAAGTCCTCTTATAACTGATAATCTTTGTTGACTTTGCTCTAAACTGATTTTTGATAACAAAACTGAAAACAAAACTATGGACGCAACTAATTTTAATAACGACAAACCTGAAGTGGTCGAAAAGTTTGAATATATGGAAGATGTTAGTCGGGTCATGTCGGTGACGTCAAGTACTCGATCGCCACAAACTAAAAATTATTTAGCTAATAAGTGTGGTGGAATACAAGTAATTATTATAAATTTAAAGTGGATTTTTATCATATTATCATTTCAACGCGTTTATAATAATAATATATCTCGTCTATTAGAAACGTGCATTCGTACCAACAGTGCCAAAACCTTTCAAATTTTATACTGAATCGTGGGCCAATAACTCTTGTAATAAAGAAAATTCCCCAAAATCACCATTTATTCCTTTAGCTCTCAGTGTGCAACAATTTTTAGACAATCCAACCAGATTCGATGCTAAGGTATCAGATGATAATACGTTTCAAAAATCAACATCGTGATTTTGAAGCTAACAATCGCAATTTTTTCCTTAAAAAAAAGTCTGATAAAGTACGTTCAAATACCTTAACTGAACCGAAATCTCCGTACTTGCGCACTAAATATAGGTCTAAACCCACTACGTAAGTTATACGTCACTAATAAATTGAAGTTCAAATAAATAAAATAAATACGAAAAATCATTCATAAGCCGGGTAATTAATTATTAATGTATTTGATTCTTGTTCAGTATATTACCTACAGAAGAGCGTAAAATAAGGGAAATGAGAGGTTATAGATTCAAGGCTAACCCATTAGATCGAAAGGTAATTGCTCGTCTGAGATTTTACGCATAAAACATCGTTACATCTCTTGCTTTAAAATTTAAATTCTCTTTTAAAGATCCTTGAAAATAGGAATTTCGGAATCCCAAAAGTACAAAAGCCAAAGTTGACTGAACCATATTCACCGGCCATAACGAAACCTAAGCCACCAAGACCGAAGAGTCCTTCACCACCACGTGTCATTAAAGCTAATCCCGTACCTGATTATAAAGAACCATATAGACCGGTGCTTGAACACCGGTTAATCGAATTACCAGTGTTTAATTTACCTGGTGAGGAAATTTCCAAGAGGAAATCACAAGAAATTGAAGAAAGGATTCGTCAAGAAAAAGAGAGAATGGAAAAGATGCGTGAATTTAAAGCGCAACCACTTCTTACTGGTTCCCCTGATGTATGTAACCATTATACGTACTAGAATAAAATAAATAAAGAATTATTCTAATTATTCTTCTCTTTTGTTTTAATGTCCAAGTGTCTGCCTACACGTCCTTATCATCCACCAACTCACCCGAAACCATTTGCATTGTTAACTAATGATCGTGGAGAAAAATATCAAAGAGAATTTTATGAGAAAGTGAGAAAAGAGCAGGAATATATTAAGGAAAGTCGATTCCATGCACAACCTCTCCCCAATTTTGAGCCCAAAATTCCTAGAAAACCTGAATGTCCTCCACCAACAGAACCAATTGGTTTTTTCTTTTTTACTGATACTCGTATGGAAGAACGTCATATTTATGACGAACACAGAAGATTCCGAGAGAAGGAAGCTGAGGAACAAAGAATAGCAAAGATCATGGAGGAAGAGGTAAGATATAAGAACTAATTCATATTATCGATCTTTTTTCAATATTTAACTTTTTATGCATTTATGTTAATTAAAGGTACGCAGTGCGGAGGAAATCCATCGGTTAAGAGCAGATTTAGTTCATCACGCTCAACCTATTCGATATTATACACCGATAAATATACAACCATCGGATAAAAAATCGACAAGACCAATTTCTCCCATGATCGGTGAAAAACGACGTAAATACATGCAAATGTTGGATAATTACGAAGGGCGTCCTTAATGTGCGTCCCGGGTATAGCTGAGATTATTATTCCATACCCTTTTTTCCTTAAATATGATTGGTTCAAAATGTGGCTCAACCAGCCACAAATTTTGTGTAACATTTATCTTTGAAAAAATATTTTTTTATTCTTTCACAAATATGTTCAGGTATTCTTCTTTACAAAAATACATCATCAAAAATGTATAATACTGTATGGCAGTTACATTTTGCCTTTATAAATTATTTATTTTTTTAAATTAAAATTATTAAAAATCTTATAAAAATTATCAAAAAAGTAAATTTGATTTTAATAAAGACAAATTTAAACTTTTAAAAATAGATTATCTTTCTAAAATATTAAATAATAAATTGGGGTTTTTTTTAAATTAATTCTATTAATTCTTAAAAATAAAAAGTTGATAAGCTAATTAGGCTGAGCCAATTTTTTGTTTATCGCAGTTTTCAGAATTCTGTATACGTTATAATTACTTGATGATTATGATTACAGGACAATAACTGGACAATTACTGGACAATTACTGAGTGATTATGATTATAGGACGATTATAGGACGATTACAGGACAATTACCGGGCAAAATTGTCCAGTTTTTGTCCAGTAATCGTCCTATAATCACAATCTCATAATCTTTTTTATTAGATGACCTGCAGGGGGTAGCACAATTTTGAAAAGCGCAATAATATAACATAGGGGGTCCCAATCTGGAGGACAAAAATTAATACATAAAATACAATACATGGCCAGAATTACCATTAATTTTGGCCAAATTTTTGACCAAAAGAGTGAGCAAAAATTTTGGATGATAATTCCAGCTAAGACTTAAAGATTTGTCTAATTTCAGCTTAAATTACATGTATTTTTTTTACATAAAAATCCAAAAACAGAGGGGGAAGGGGGTTATGTTAAACAAAAAATTGCCTTATTATAACAAGATTATTTTTAAATACTTTAATTTTTTTTTTTTTGGTAATTGCTATACATTTACTAAGAACAATTTTAAATACTTTAATAATAAATTATCTATTATTATTAAATTATAAAATTACCTTTTTTATATTAATTTTAAAAAATATATCTGATATTAATAAAAAAGCTTATGCTTTAGTAATAAACTAAATTACAGTAATACCTTTATAAGTGCATTCTCTATAAGTGTATACACTATACATGAAGCCGAAACCTCTATAAAGCTGGACAGGGTTTTGGACTTTCAGTAATTTAATTATAATAAATTATTAAAAATTATCCAGAAATCCATCTGAAACTCCAAAGACTTTATATTATAGTTTCAGCTGGATGTAAAGATTAATTTTTATCATTTATTAACTTAATTTTGATTTAAAGACGTGGCCAAAAATCACGTGAAAAGGTTTCAGCTACAAGTATAGTATACACTATATAAATTCTCTTTAAGTGCATGGTGGGTTTGGTTCCAAGTTCTAATTTATAAGGGCTTTTAATATTTATTTTCTATAAATGCACATTCTCTTTAAGTGCACATTCTATTATTTTTTACTATAATTCCAAGGAGGATGCACTTAAAGAAGTATTACTATTAGTATTTATTAGTATGATAACTGCATAATAATAATTAATTTGATTCTTTAAAGAATAAAATTATTAATAAATTTAAAAACTTTAAATTTAATTCTAAATTTGCTATTTTAGTAAGTAAATTAAAAATTTTATAAATTAAATTGTACAAATCAAAAGAAAAATTAATCTGATATTATATAAGAAATTACATAAAGTAATATAAATTTTGCAAATATAAAAAACTTAAAATTAATTTTATTTTTTATTTATTTTATAACTCTAAAATTATAAAATTATAAAATTTTTTTTTTTTTTTTTACAAGATAGTACAATTTGTAAGTTTATATGTAAAAATACAGAAATATTTGTTATATAACTAATTTTTTAAAAACTTTAAACTAGTTTTCTATTTATAAGATCACTTCTGTACTCTACTATCATCTTATGAAATTCATCTGTATTCTTCCATAATAACTATTGAATTATATAAGATCATCATATTATAAGGTTTTAGTATATGCTTTTACTACTTTTTAAATAAAAAAAAGAAATGTTATGTTATATTTATATATTTTTGTATTAGTATTATATACCTTTCATAATATCCTATTTTCTTCTCTAATAAAATTAAATAAAAAGATTACTATTTTATCTAAAAAATGTTTAAATAGTTAAAATAAAAAAACCAATAATATTAAATTGTTAATACTATACTAATAATATTATTTATAATAGAATTCATTTTAGGCTAACTAATATTAAATTAAATGTAATGTAAAATACATAGCTAATTCAAAATTTTTTACAGTAGATGTAATTATTTCTTATAGAGTTTTTCTTAAAATTAAAATTAAACATTATATAATTTACTTATTGAAAGATATTGATCTTTTACTAAAATACAATTAATATATTTCATAAGTTTTAGCTTTTATAAAAATTACAACTTTTTATGCATTACTTGTTAAATAACAGATTCATTGAGTTTATTAATTTTAAAACAACCTGAAAAAATATTAAATAATAAATTTAAAATTATAAATTAAATGTTAAAATTAAAGATTATAAATGAAATAACAGTAAAGCTTTAAAAAGGATCTGGTAAAAAAAAGTTAATTGATAAAAAAAAGTTCAAAAAAAAGGGATGATAATTATAGTGATAAAGATGGTAATTATTCTGGTAATAATAATAAGATAATAGTGAAATAATAATGAATAAAGAATATTGAAGATATAAATGATGGCAAAGAAACTTTTATTAGTTAATATTAATGCAAATAAGTTATATATCCAATTAGTTGAATCTGTCACAATTAGTATTTCTCCAATTACAAATAACTGTATTTGCAAAATATTTATTTCCAAAAAAAAAATTGGTGTATTGACAATGTTGCAAGTTAAACAAGTATTGGAAAGCAAGGTAAGCAAAAAAAAATTAATAATGATCGAATTTGTGTCTGTTGTTCCTGCAATACCTTCATAAGGATTAATATTATTCAGTTCTTATGCATCATCCATCGTAATCAAATCAGTTCTTGGAATAAAAACAGGTTCGGAGTAGCAAGCAATCTAATTCATTTCTTAGCGCATAATCTTTTTCACATTACAAGCATTTCCCATGATCTGTAATTCTTTATCTTTAACAATATCGTCCCTAACTTTTTGAGAATGCTATAAGTGAGGTTTCGAATACCGGAAAGAAGTGAAAGAAGCATCCTATTGATCCAGATCTTTAGGAACCTATAAACAAGCAAAGTATGAAGTAGTAAAAAATGTCCTTTTATAGCGCTAGAAAATTTAATCCTCCTTGCAAACTGCATAACCCCAAATGAATAAATACGTAAAAACAAAAAAAATTTTTTTTATTAATACATTTAATACATGCAAAATAAATATATATCGGGTCTATGCCATAGTACATGCGAAAAATACATCGAACGTGACATCTACGCTACTATACATGATTATTTTTTCGAACGGTATTCTTCTATCCTAGCTTTTTTCTTTGAAGATTCGTCTTCCGCATATACCCTATCTTTCAACAGCCCTACTATTATTTTCAAAACCTTCTTCACAGCACTACACAAATGATTAGTATACGCTGGAACTTTTGTCCAAGGCCTTGTTAAATTTAATAATAACGGGAACTTTCACTCGTCTGAAAAATTTCACCCGGAGAATAGAACAATCCCTGACTGATGCCACAAAGTTAGACCTAGTTTGTACACAATTAAAATATTTTATTTTCACGTGCAATGAATGAACCAATGAATATTCATTTGATCAGCATATACGCCATTATGGTAAAAAACAAAAAAAAACCGTTTAAAAAAATGTTTCTCTAATTCTCTCATCAATCAACCTTATCAAAAAAAACTTTTTTTCTTTTCTTATAAATTAATTCCAATAAAAACGATTAAAACACGACGTCAAATAAATTCATATATTTTCCTTAGGATATACCTTTTTAACTAATTGTGTCTTTTTTTTTTATCATTAAATAAAATTTGAAATTTATTTATTATAAAATTATATAAAAGAAATGTTTCAGCAAGTTAAAACAGGTTATTTACTTTCTTTTTTTTTAAAAGTATTATAATAAAATTACTTTATTTTAATGATCGTTCTTCGTTTTTTAGTTGTATCCTACGTAGCTGGAACGTCAACGCTTCGTCAATACGATCTTGGTGAACAAGTTGCCAGTTCAGGTTTATGGAAGATCTTTGCAGGTGGATGATATTTTTGTTTTCTTAAATAATTTTTTAAAATGACTCTTATTAATCTAATTTAATTATTGATAGGTACTAAAAAGACGACAGGACAAAAAGTAGCCGTATTTGTGGGTATTAGAAATCTAAATCTTAAATTAATCGGGTTTATTATAAAATTATTAATGAATAAATATTATTTAGATGTTTGAAAAAAAGATTATAGACAATCCTTTAAGGAAAGGTTATGATAAAAAAGAGACCGAAAGGGTTTATACAGTTTTAAAAAAAGAGGTAATAAAAAAATATTTATTTATAATTATTTTAATTTTAAATATATTTTTACTTATTTGTATTTGATTTTAGGCTAGTCAATTGTCGCGACTTCGCCATCCATCACTATTAGAAGTTGTTGAAGCTGTTGAGGAAACAAGAACAGTTATCACATTTGCAACTGAACCTATTTTGGCTTCTCTATCAAATTTACTTGGAAATTATGATAATTTATCTCCTATCCCGAGCGACATTAAGAGTTTTGATATGGATGAATTAGAGGTACAAATTATTTAGTAACGTTTTCTTGAAATGTAATCTTTTTTAAAATAATTTTATGTAGATTCAGAAGGGTTTACTTCAAGTCGGAAAAGGCTTACAATTTTGTCATAATGATGCTAAAATTGTTCATTCAAATCTTGTTCCAGAAGCAATATTTGTAAATACAAAGGTATAGATATAATAAATAAAATTTTTTATTTAAAGAATAACTGATGCTTATATTTATTTTAATTAGGGAGACTGGAAAATTGGAGGGTAATTTAAATTTAATCATTTTTAATTAGATTTTTCAGTTTAATTTATCTTGTCGAAAAAAAAAAAATGTATACATATATATTAGATTTGGATTCGGCACTTTTCTCAATAATCCTGATTCCCCAGTACCTTACGAATATCCAGATTATGATGTTCGAATACCAAGTTACGCGCAAAAAAATTATGATTACATGGGTAAATAAATATACCTAAGTTCTTTAAATTTGTTGTGCCTCAGATGACGACTGATCTAATTTTTTGGTCAATTTTATGATGCCTTAAGAGAGTGGCTAAAATAATTCATCTGAAGTGCGAACTGACGGTTAACACACAACATATTTATACTAAAAAACTTATTGTCTTCGATTTCTTTGTAAATTTAGCGCCTGAATACGTGTTGGATGAGAATCTTGATTTCGCGAATGACATGTTTGCGCTTGGCTGTTTAATATATACGGTGCATAGACATGGCAAACCTCCAATGGAAAACCATAATAGTATTCACACATATCGAAAAAATATTGAAAATTTATCATCGATAAATTACGACCATCTTCCATACCATCTTCATGGTAGTTTTTGAAATTTTATTCTATTTTTATTATAATGATTAAATATCTAATCGGTTTATATATTTTTATTGTCTAGAGGTTATGTATAATCTTATTACGCGATATCCATCTCAGAGAATGACTGCAGCTGAATTTCAAACGTGCAAATACTTTGATAATGTCTTAGTTTCAACTGTGAAATTCTTTGAAAGCTTTCCTGAGAAAACCGCAGACGACAAAGCAAATTTTATGAAAGGCTTAATCAGAATTTTGCCGCAATTTCCTGAAAGAGTACTAGTTCGCAAGGTAAATTTACTTTAAAATATATTTTTATTTATATAGAAGGAAATAATTAACTAATATATTAAATATGATTTAGATTTTACCATCTCTTCTTCAAGAAATGAAGGATCATTCACTTTTGGCTTATACTCTTCCTAATATTTTCTTTATAGCACAAAAATTATCTCCTAATGATTTTTGCGAAAAAGTTCTTACTCCTCTTAAACCAATATTTTCTGTTTCTGAACCAATGCAAAATATGATAACTTGCCTAGATAATATTGATTTGTTTCAACAAAAAACCTCATCTTATATATTTAAAGAAGGTATTTTATAAGCAAACTTAACTTTTTATATTATAAATTTTACTAACTTTACGCGCACCATAGATGTAATGCCCTTAATTTATCATGCGTTGGAAGCTAAAACACCTGCAATACAAGACAAAGTTCTTAAAGTTATTCCAGCGATAGCTGATTCTTTAGATATTTCGACTGTTAAGGTTTCATTATTTCCAAGGATTCAGGTATGAAGAAATATTTTTTTTTAACAAATATAGATTCAATTATAATTAATGATTTTTATAATTTTTAACAGAATTTGTTTATCCATACTACACTATTATCCATTAAAGTTATAGCCTTAGTCTGCCTTCAATCATTAATAAAATTTTTGGACAATGTAGGTCTATTTGTTAATTATTGGTTATTTCAGTTTATAATTGCTTACATTATTAATTTTTCTCTTTTTGTTGCGTAGTTTACGATAACGGAAAAACTTATACCTTTGTTAAAAGGTATCAAAACAAAAGAAGCCACTGTAATGGTAAATAATTTTTTGTTATAATTAAATTTATGCATTATATATATATTTAATATGCTTTATATTATAGGTTACTACGCTATCAGTGTTCGAAGAAATGGGCAAGAATGGAGAAAAAGATGTTATAGCTACTGAAATAATACCACAATTATGGAGACTATCTGTTGTTCCTACGTTAAATCTTCAACAGGTATGAAATTATAATTTATACAGAAGTTTTTTTTTTAAAAAAATTTCTCTGTACTAAATTTTTCACCCTTTTAGTTTCAAAAATTCATGGATGTGATCAAAAAATTATCTATGAAAGTTGAACAGGATCATTCTCGTCAACTTCAAGACATTAGGAATATTGAAGATAATACAAAGAAATATGTAGAAGGAGGAAAAAGTAGTGATGATGTAGTTCCCGTTGATTTTGAAAAGCTTGTTGGTTCATCAGGAGGAACAATAAATGGTAATACAAGAAATGGCATTAGTAATGGTGCCATTGAAATTCCATCGGATCCTTTTGACACACCGGGTAATAATCCTGTTGCCGAATTTATGACTACATTAGGATCTTCTAATATGGTACGTTTTTATTCAAAAATTCTTCTCTCTAATATTTTAAAATAGGTTTGCCAATAATTTTTTTAATTATTAGAATTCGACGAAAAGTGATAGAAAATTGTCATCATCATCCGTTCAATCTGATTTCTTCATAACAAATGGAGGAATTACTCCAATGTCACCAAAACCTCGTAATTCATTAAATTCAACAAATTCATATGCAGGAAGTAAAGCTCATTCGCAGACACAATCAATAAATTCATTTTCTACAACATCTAAACCTTCACTTGATATAATTCCATCATTACCGCCACCAAATTCTTCAAAAGCAGGAACACTTTCATCAACTTCAACTACTACTTCAATTTCATCAAGTCTTTTTAATTCAATAGCAACAACTTCACGAATGTCTCAACAAAATTTTGATCATTCAAATACAATGAATACGTCTAGGCCATCATCAAATACGCCATCTTTAAACAACATATATTCACCTAATACAAATACAAACACAAGTTTTAATTCCCAATTTAATTCAATGTCATCATTGCCAAACAAAAATAATAATACACTTAATTTGAATAAGAATATGAATACTCCTCCATCTCAACCTATGTTTAATGCCGGAAGTATACTTCAACCCATAAATTCAAATAAGTCAGGGTTAAACAACAACGGCAATAGTAATAATAATTCAAGTACTAACCAAAAAATAAGCAAGGGAGATTTAACGATGTTCGATCCCTATTCGTAAAATTTTTTTGTTAGATATATTTATTATTATTTAGAGGGAAATAGCAGAGTTGTACAATTTATAATGATTAAATATATGTTAAAATTATTTATATAGTATTAAAATAAATTATACCATGTAATATTATAAATTAATTAATATGCGTTATTTTACAAAAATCAAAATTAATATAATTCAAAAATTTCGAAGGTAAATTAATATAAATAAAAATTTAGCATTATCTGTTACGTCCCTTTCTATAAAATGAATAAAGTATTTAATATGAATTAAACACATTAATCAAAAATTAAATGTATAGGGATTGAAGAAAATTTCTTTGGTGTATAGATCTCTGATATTAAGAATTAATATGAAAGAATAGACAAACTTAAAATGCGAGTTTAGCGTTTAAACATTTTTTTTTCAAATATCAGATATCATGAATTTCTAATTAAAAATCAAAGCCTGCCAAAAACTGCCATTAAAAATAAGTGACCAAAAATGCTTAATTTTAACTATTTTTTGACGATAAATTATCTAGCCTTTCTTTAGCTTCATGACTTCCATTCTTTACGGCTTTTTCGTACCAATAAATAGCTTTTTCTATATTCTTTTCTGTTCCCTTACCTTGTTCGTATAAAAATGCAAGACTTTTTTGTGCATCACGATTTTCTTCTTGAGCAGCTATTTTGTAAAAATCGAATGCTTTTTCTTTATTCATATTCACTCCAATTCCATGATCATAACAATATCCAACTTTATACTGAGCATCTACAAATCCTTGATCAGCTGATTTTTTATAAAACCCAAATGCTCTAACTTTATTTTGAAGTATACCCTCTAATTCGCAACATTTGCCCAAGTTATATAATGCAACTTTACTGTCATCTTCTGCTGCTTTCTGATACCACCAACACATATTATCTAAAATGTTTATTGATTTTTCATCATAATCATAACGTTCAACATTAATTTGTGCCACGTTATTATATAATTCAAATCCTTTTTTCTTATTAACCTCAGTTCCAATACCGTTTACATAGCAATATCCTAGTAAGAGTTTTGCATAAAAAAAATTATTATCAGCCGATTTTTTATACCATTCAAATGCTTTAACCTCATCTTTTTCAACACCAGTTCCTAGTTCATAATATTCGCCTAAATTATATTGTGCTATTTCATGTCCATTTTCTGCTGCTTTATGATACCAATGAAAAGCCTTTTCTAAATCTTTCTTTGTTCCTATTCCATTTTCGTGTAAAAATCCAAAATTATTTTGTGCTCTACTATAATTTCCTTCTTCAGCAGCTATTTTAAATAATTCAAAAGCCTTTACATGATTAATATCTGTTCCAATTCCACGATAATAACAACGTCCTATTAAAAATTGTGCATTTATATTTTCTTGTTCGGCCGATTTTTTATAAATTTCAAATGCTTTACTAGGGTTTTTTTCTATTCCTTTTCCAAATTGATAACATTTTCCTAAATGATATAATGCACTTGAATTTCCATTATTAGCTGCTTTTTCATACCAATAAAAAGCTTTCTTTAAATCTACATTTGTTCTTGCTGTACCTTCTTCATATAAATTACCAAGGTAAAGCTGTGCACATATGCTATTATTCCCTATGGCATTACGCAAACAAATAATTGCTAATGGAATATTAATCTCAGTTCCTGTTCCCAATTGATAGCATTTACTTAAATAAACTTGTGCAATATGATAATTATCTTCTGACGCTTTTGAAAATAATTTAAATGCTTCATGAATATTATTTTCAATAATAATACCATTATAATAAAGAAACCCGAGAAGGAAAATATATTGAGGTTTTGTTTGATTATTCATAAGCCAGTTAAAAATGTCATTACTTGGAATTTGATCGTAAAGATTAATACATTGATTAATAAATTGATTTGTTTCCATAAAGTTATATCCTCTTTTATCTTGTACCTTAATCAACAATGTAATTAATTTATCAACAATTTTTTCGATAGTTAAACCACTTATCTCATCAAACAATTTTTTCGCTTGTTTTAATATATATAGAGGAATTTCATTTTCTGTCATATCATCTAAATCATATTTTAGTATAAAATCGCTTATTACTAAATCAGTAAATTCATCCTCTTTTGACACCTTATTTTCTGTATTTTCTACATGTACGATAGAATTAATTTCTCCATTATTTTCATGAGAAATTATTGACTTTAGAGATGAAACAACTTTTTGTATATTAGGTCTTTTATTAGGATCATCTACCCAACATGCTAATTTTTTTTTTTTTAGAAAAAAGAGCCAACGTAAATAAATAAAATAAATATTGAAAAGAATATTATTTAAATTTAATAATTTACCTTCGTATAAATTACTATATTCAGGTGGTGTATTTTTAATAATATCCTCCCTCATTCCATTTCTTATAGCTATAGCTAAACTTGCATCGTATGGTGTATTTTCGTCATAAAAAGGTCTACGCCCACTTGATAACTGCCAAAAAAGGACACCAATACTATAGACATCTGATTTAGTAGTTATTACATATGATTGATTTTCTAAGCATTTTGGATCTACGTATGGTAGCAGACCGTGTGCATCTTTAAGATAATTTGGTGCTTCAGATATCTTTCTAGATAGGCCGAAGTCTGCTAATTTAACATTATTCCGATGTATGAGTACGTTATACGCATGCTAAGATATAGATATAATATTATTAATCTTATATAAATTACAGTGAATTATTATGTTTATTGTGTTACCAAATCACAATGTATTATTCCTTCATCATGAACACATTCTACAGCATTTGCAAGTTGCAATGCCAACCGATATTTATCATTCCATTCAAGTTCGTTGAATTTTTCCTTTAAATAAGAATACAATGAACCACCATCAGCATATTCGAGAATTAACAAATATTTATTTATCTGATTAGCTAAACCAGAAGTTTCTAGTTTTGAAACTCCATAAAATCGTAAAATGTTTGGATGAAAATCAACTTCTCGCTGTATTTCTATCTATAAAATATTCTAACGAGTTAATACTAATTTTGCTTATTAACTATCGGAAATTGGCAATACTGTATCATCATTTGAAATTTAAATGAATTACCTCATTCAAGATTTCTTTAACAGTTAATTTATATGAAGATTTAACAATCAAAAGAGTGTCGGTTCCTTTCCAATTCGCTTGATAAATATTTCCGACTGAACCATGATTAATTTCTTTCATATTAGTGAATTCGGAATAAGGATAATATTTTATATTAACTGTTTTTTCTACCCATTCAACGGGGTCATCAAATTGCTTATATGTCATCATTTCTCATTAATGTTAAAATTGAGAAAAAAAGAGATTTTCCAACCTGACCGTTGACCCGATATATTTTGGGTTGTTTTTTATATATAAAAAAAATGCATGATTTGTGGTACAATATTTATTAATGTTTATGAAATTGTGCTACATTATACAGAATTACAGATCGTCAATTTCAGTCTTATAACGTGACAGTCGTGACATCATCTTTCCAAGTATATATTTCAAAGAGCTTTCACAATTGTGAAAATGTATCCCGTTCCATAGTACTGTATCTATTAGTTTTCCAGAAGAGAGAAACAAAGTAAAAATCTACCGTTAATACTGTATATAATATACAAATAAATAATTTTATGTCATAGAAATAATATCTTTTCAAGTTAATTAGCTGAAAATTTTAATTTCAGGTGTAATTAACAAAACGAATTTTAATTTGGCTTAGTTGTTAAGGTCATAAACATAATTATGGAGATATACATAATGAAAATATTCAAGATTGCATTTTTTTTATTTTTTTACCGGTGTGCGTTTACTGTAAACAGTACAAGGAATAAATTTACTATCAAAACATTGTCCAATAATAATACCATTAGTCATTAAAAAATTACATGATTCTGGACACTTTGAATTTAACATATTTTAATGCCAAATAATTTTTTCTATATTGTTAATTACATACGAAAACAAGAATAAATTCTTATTGTATCATGCAGTTTTTTGCAATATTGATGAAGGGACTTATAAACTATTTATTACATTATGAAGGCCTAAGTGTCTATTCACCCCGTTAAATAAAGTATCTATCTAATAAAAGAATCACCTAACGCTAAATACATAGTAAATTAAAATAAAAGATATATAAAAAGAAAAAGAAAGCCTAAAATAAAAAAGAAAAAAATTTCTACATGAATAAGAAAATGGTTAGTGTCTCCGGGTTGAACTGTGTTATCGGTCCGATACAGCAGCTTTCTCGATTAAAACCGTAAATAAATCATACCCTACAAGGGTGCTATAAACCTATAAATCGTAAATCCAGAAAAAAACTTGACCGTCCTTATTCAATCTCTAATCTAAATCCAAATCTACATCCGCACGCGTAATCGCTTTCTTTTTCTTGCGTTTCTTCCTATTATCTTCTTCCGTCTCATTCAAGTCCACTTATGCATATCAATTTGATCCTTAATTCATTTAGATTTATGTATTTGTTCACTTTTTGATCGGCAGTAAGTTATTTGTTTGAAACGTGTTGCAAAAGGTAAGTCTTTTTCATACATACAAAACAGAAGATATTCAAGTGCTTTAATAGATAATCAACCGAATTCAATATCATTTAATATATGTTGCTGCTTTTGAACACTAAATTAAGAAGAATATTATCTTCTGATAATAGTACTATTTCCGCAACTTTAGATAATAATTCTGGCGAATAATTGTTTTGGCAGTTTTTACAAATTTCAGGTAATTGAAAATAATCTACAGCATATTATATTTTGTTAACTAATGAAATTTCTCTAATTGATCCTGTGTAATTATTCTATTCTATTCATATTTAATACTCAAATGATTATTAAATTTTCCATCTCATCGAATAATTTGAAAAATAAAAAAATTACGACTTTAGAAAATGTTTGTCCGGAGTCTGTCATTAAGTCGTGATTTATTATCGTATCATTTATATTTTTACTTTCACATAGCTAGTAAGTAGTAACTAAAAAAAAGTTCTTACTCTGACACTGAAATGGGAAGTAAATTTACTATACTGTATTACTATATTTAATGGGAGTTCCATTAAACATACTGAGAATTAATATATTAATATTAGTACGTCTTAGACTAGACTATAATGTGCTAGGACGTTAATCTACTAGATAGATTATAGTGTGATTATTAGACTATAATGTGCTAAGAATATAAGATGTTATTAGACTATAATGTGCTAAGAATATAAGATGTTATAGGTACACTATAGTCTACTATATTATACTCATAATTTTATTTCAGTTTATGAGGGGTGGTAGAAATAATTTTATTTTATGGAGTGGTGGGATGAGTATGCTTCTCTCTGCGCCCTTTTTATTATCAAAGAGCTATACATCTGTTTGCCTCTTCGGCGCTGCATCCAGAATCTGTTGGGTCTATAATGGCTTCAGCATACAATTTTAAGATCAGGTGGAATAAGGTATCAAGTAAAAATACTAACCCGTTCGAGATGAATTATATGGTTCTTCAGTTCGTTCTTCGCAGATTACATTCAATATTGTTAGGTGTTAAAATGGTAAGCCATTAAATTTCGAATATACATAAGGGACTTACTTGATTTAGTTGGGCTTTCTCATCAAGCATCTTGTTCTCTATATGAATTATTTGTCTCTTCGTTTGTATTTTCCAGAAAAGATCTATCTGTTTCGACTTTTTATCACCTTTATATTATTATATAGAAAGAGTGACAATATATTATCAGCCTGAAACAACGGATAAACACCCAGTCTTTCCTTTACTGACACGCAATCCGCAAAGTAGTCCATTGAAGCACTGCACACTAACACACCATTTAGAGTATGCTCACCAACAAGCACGGCAACCTTTCCCACTGCCAATACGCGATTAGCAGGGTAATTAGTGACAGAACAGAGCGTGCGACTAACACACCATTATGGTATGCTCACCAGCAAGCATGCAACCTTTCACACTGCAAACACGCGATCAGCAGGTATCTGGTGACAGAATAGAGCAACTTAGGCTGTAGTATCGACTAAATAAATTCAACTTGCCTTAAAAACATTTATCCAGTTTAGTACCTTCTTCCCGATTTCGGAAGTTTCAGTATAATACTCTTTAGTTCACCTTTATACGTACCATTTTTTCATCATCTAAATTACCTTCGCGTAGTCGGAAATCTAAAGCTTTTTAAGTGAAGGGCTTTCTGTGCTTTTCCAAAAGACTACATACGATATTCAAACAACGAGTTATATTATAAAGCATTTTCATAAAGAAATAGCTACAATTTGTCTTATCAGGTTATTTCAGAGCGTTAAGACATTCAGTACTCAGATCCATTTTATATCTTTCGTTGCGAAAATAATATAATCACGAAAAAGTAATATAAGAGTTAATTTCCATAAAATGTAAAATCGCATGACGTACAATCTTGATCTTCCAATGCAAACTAATGGGACATGTGCATATGAAAAAAATAATGATTTATTTTTTTGAAACTTTATTAATTTTCAGTGAAAAAGTGGAGCTAGCGAATGAAATGTATGATGCTATCAGAGAGAGAGAGAATACGTACTTAAAAATTTTTTTCGATTTTACAGAATCTGTTGGTACGTAAAAATGCTTATCATAAGTTTTACTGCCCGAACAAGAAGAAGTAATGTATAGAGGCGGGAATATCGATTAACATACTGATGTTCTATTATGAATTTAAGGAGTGTCGAGTTGATCTAATTACTATCGTGACGCGGTCATATTAACGTTCTGAATGTTTGAAGTCAATTGTGCAAGTTGTGAGGCCTTTATAGAGCATGGAATTGAACGCTGTAGTTATTCATCCAACTTAACCCGCTGGTAAAGATTATTACTGTATCTTCAAAATGATACACATGACTAAATAATTTACCAAAATACCAAAATATATTAGAGGCATCACTTATCCATTAAAAATAGAGAATAACCTAATAAAAGAATGTATGTTAATTAAATCACAATTAATAAATTTATTTGTAAATAAAAATGGTGAAAATATTAATTTATCGTATTTGTTTATTCATAATTTATGAAATAAGACGATGAAGATTTATTTTGTAAATAATTAAATAATTAGTACAACAAAATAATAATAACTACTATAATTATCCGACGTTATCATTATTTATAACTTTGATGTCCTGCTTTTTCATACCAGTAAATGGCTTTTTCTGTACATTTCTTTGTCCCTTCTCCTCGTTCATACAAAAGTGCAAGACTTTTTTGTGCATCACGATTTTTCTTTCTAGCAGCTACTTTATAAAATTCAAACGCCTTTTCTTTATCAATATTAACTCCAATTCCATGATCGTGACAATATCCAACTCTATATTGAGCGTCTGCAAATCCTTGATCGGCAGATTTTTTATAGAATTCAAATGCTTTAATTTCGTCCTTTTCAACACCCTTTCCATTTTCATATAATAATCCTAGATTATATTGTGCTACTTCATCTCCATTATCTGCCGCTTTTTGATACCAATAAACTGCTTTTTCTAAACTCTTTTCGATACCCATACTACTTTCATAACAATATCCAAGTTGATTTTGTGCATCGTTATAATCATTTTCAGCTGACTTTTTATACAATTCAAATGCTTTAATTTCATCTTTTTCAATGCCCTTTCCATTTTCGTATAATAATCCCAGATTATATTGCGCTACTTCATCTCCATTATCAGCTGCTTTTTGATACCAATAAACTGCTTTTTCTAAATTCATTTCGGTAATTATGCCGCTCTCATAGTAATATCCAAGTTTACTTTGTGCATAACTATAATTTTGCTCAGCTGACTTTTTATACAATTCAAATGCTTTGATTTCATCCTTTTCAATACCATCTCCAAATTCATAACATTCACCTAAATTATATTGTGCAATTTTATTCCCATTTTCTGCTGCTTTTTGATACCAATAAACTGCTTTTTTAAAATCTTTGTTTATACCTATACCAACTTTATAATAATATCCTAAACTATTTTGCGCATCAACATATTCTTGCTCAGCTGATTTCTTATACAATTCAAATGCTTTGATTTCATCTTTTTCAATACCATCTCCAAATTCATAACATTCACCTAAATAATATTGTGCAATTTTATTCCCATTTTCTGCTGCTTTTTGATACCAATAAACTGCTTTTTTAAAATCTTTTTCTATACCTATACCATTTTTATAAAAAAATCCTAAACTATTTTGTGCGTCACTATATTCTTGTTTAACAGATTTTTCAAACAATTCAAATGCTTTAACTTCATTTTTTTTAATACCAATTCCATATTGATAACATCTACCTAAATTATATTGTGCGATTTTATTTCCACTTTCTGCTGCTTTTTGATACCAATAAGTTGCTTTTTCTAAATTTTTTTCTATACCTATACCACTTTCATAAAAATATCCAAGTTGACATTGTGCATCATTATGATTTTGTTTAGCTGATTTTTTATACAATATAAATGCTTTAACTTCATCATTTTTAATTATTTCATAATATTTACCTAAATTATATTGTGCAATTTCACTTCCATTTTCTGTTGCTTTTTGATACCAATAAAAAGCATTATCCAAATTTTTCTTTGTTCCCTTTCCATTTTCATACAATAATCCAAGATAATTTTGCGCTTTGCTATATCCATTTTCAGCTGATTTTTTATACCATTCAAATGCTTTAAATTCATCTTTTTCAACACCTTTTCCATCTTCATAACATCTGCCTAAATTATATTGTGCAACATTAATTTCATTTTTTGCAGCTTTTTGAAACCAATAAAAAGCTTTTTTCAAATTCTTTTTTACTCCTTTTTCATTTTCATATAAAAATCCAAGATTATTTTGTGCATAACTATTATTTCCTTTCTTCGCAGATTTTTTATACCATTTAAATGCTTTGACTTCATCTTTTTCAACACCATAACCATCTTCATAACATTTAGCCAAATTATATTGTGCAATTTCATTTCCGTTTTCTGCTGCTTTTTGATACCAATAAAATGCTTTTTCTAAATCCTTTTCTGTACCAATACCATTTTCATAAAAAAATCCAAGATTATTTTGTGCCAAGTTATAATTTCCCTCGTCAGCTGATTGCATATATAATTCAAATGATTTAATTTCATTTTTTTCAATACCAATACCATATTGATAACATCTACCTAAATTATATTGACCAATTTTATTTTCATTTTCTGCAGCTTTTTGATACCAATGAAAAGCTTTTTCTGAATCTTTTTTGATCCCCTTTCCATTTTCAAATAATATTCCAAGATTATTTTGTGCATTACCATAATTACCTTCTTCGGCAGCTATTTTAAATAATTCAAAAGCCATCGTATTATTAATATCAGTTCCAATTCCTTTATAATAACAACATCCAAGTAAAAATTTTGAAACAATATTTTCTCGATCAGCTGATTTTTTATAAAGTTCAAATGCTTTTTTTTCATCTTTTTTGATTCCTTTTCCATGTTGATAACATTTACCTAAATGATACAATGCACTTAAATTTCCATGATTAGCCGCTCTTTCATACCAATAAAAAGCTTTATTTAAATCCACATTTGTTCCTTTACCATCTTCATATAAATTACCAAGATAAAGTTGACCACATATACTATTATTCTTTATAGAATTATTTAAACAATTAATTGCTAAATCACTATTAATTTCAGTTCCAACTCCTGTTTGATAACATTTACTTAAATAAACTTGTGCAATATTATAATTATCTTCTGATGCTTTTGAAAATAATTTAAAAGCTTCATCATTATCCTTATCTACAATAATACCATTATAATAAAGAAAACCGAGAAAGAAAATATATTGAGGATTATTTGATTGATTTTTTATAAGCCAATTAAATATATTATTTGTTTGATTTGAAAGAGTAATATAATGATTAATAAATTGATTCGTTTCTAAAAAATTATATCCTTCCTTATCTTGTATTTCAATTAATAAAGAAATTAATTTATCAATAATTGAATCTATAGAATCAAATATTTCATTAAATAGTTTTCTAACTTGTTTTATTATATATGGTAAAATTTTATTTTCTAACGTATCTAAATCATATTTTAATATAAAATCACTTATTACCAAATCATCAAATTCATTATCTATTGATATAGGATTAGAATTTATCTCTTTTGGTAATTCTTTCTTACATATAATAGCACTAATACATTCGTTGTGTTCTTTAGATATAATTGATTTTAAAGATAAAACAACTTGTTGTATAGCAGGTCTTTTATCAGGATCATTTAACCAACATGCTAAATTGATTTTTTTATAAGAGTTTAGAGAGTCAATGTAAATAAATATTCAAATAATAAAATTCATACTAAATAAATAATTTACCTTTATATAAATTACTATATTCGGGTGGTGTATCTTCAATAATATTCTCTCTTTTTCCATTTTTTATATTTATAGCCAAACATACATCATATTGTGTATCTTCATCATAAAAAGGTCTACGTCCACTTGATAGTTGCCATAAAAGAACTCCAATACTATAGATATCTGATTTAGTAGTTATTGCATATGATTGATCATTTAAGCATTTTGGATCTACGTATGGTAACACACCGTATACATCCTTAAGATAAATTGATGCTTCAGATGTCTTCCTAGATAGACCAAAATCCGCCAATTTAATATTATTCTGATGTATAAGTACATTATGTGCATGCTAAGACATAGAATTAAATTAAAATTAGTAATTTTATATAATACTGCATTTAAATATTAAGAAATTATTACCAAATCGCAATGAATTATTCCTTCGTTATGAATACATTCTACAGCACTTGCAAGTTGTAATGCTAACCGATATTTATCACACCATTCAAGCTTATTAAAATTTTCCTTTAAATAAGAATGTAATGAACCGCTGTCAGCATACTCTATAACCAATGAAAATTTATTCATTTGATTTTCTAATCTTGAAATTCCATAAAATCGTAAAATATTTGGATGAAAATCGATTTCTCGTTGTATTTTTAACTAAAAAAGGATTTTTAATATTATTAATTCATATAATTCATTAAATAAAGTTATTACAGAAAATAATAATCATATAAATAGAGTTATTACCTCATTCACGATTTCTTTAATAGTCAATTTATACGAAGATTTAATGACAAGAGGAGAGTCAGCTCCTTTCCAATTCGCTTGATAAATCTTTCCAGCTGAACCATTACCATTAATTTCTTTTATATTGGTAAATTCGGAACAATTATAATATTTAATATAGTTTTCGTTAATCGCTTTTTCTACCCAATCAACGGAATCATCGGTTTGTTTGTCGATCGTCATTTTTGTACAAATAAATAAATAAAAAAAAAGGTATTAAAAAATAAAAAGCAAAAAAGAAAGATTTAACTCATTAATTCAAATAAACAAATAATTAATTAATTAAAAAAAAAATTTTTTAAATTTTTGTTACGGTTTATATTTCTTTTTTGTAAATATTTGTGCAATATTTTGTCAAATTGGTTTTGATTAACAAGAATGGTATTGATAAGGAAATGAATAACCACTATTAAGTGATAAACATCAAACACAATCGCATATGGCAGAACACAATGGCTTTGTTTATACATAAATTTACTAATTTGGTTTGCATCAACCAAGTTTGTTTATGAAAAGTAATCTAGGCCAATTCTTTGTTTAACATAACTGCCTTATTATTGAAATAATCATAAACGATTTTCGGGATTTTTTATCTGTTATATAGTAACATGCTATGACGTAAATTATATTATTATTTTTTTTTTTTTGGTTTTTACTTTTTTAAATAACCATTGCTTAAATTACCTAGACAAAATTTAAATTAAAAAATAAATCTTTTTATTATAGTTACTACAGTATATAGTAGCACTGCCTAAGAGACTCCCTTTCCGCGTACCCTATCGGATATTTTATTAGACAAAAAAAATTTTTTTAATTTAGACCCAGGTATAATTCAATTTTTTTAAATGAGGTAAATTGATATAGACCCGGGTATTTTATTATCCATACTTGATTTAACCATGTTCATGTGGAGGTTCCTTAACGTACGCACCGTGCGTACGTACATCCTATCAGAGTTTAGGAGTTATGCACTTGCACGTGATAGCGTTAAACTTAACTCCGGCCGGTGCGTACGTTAATATCGTACACATGATGCGTAAGTTAAAGATGGCGGATAAGGCTTAATTACCGTATTTTGCGGTATATAAGCACCCCTTTATTGCACTTAATGCCGGCCAAGATCCTCATAATTCTGGCCAAAATCGCTATAATTCTGACCAGGGGTACTTATTTTCAGGAGTGCTTACTAACCGCAAAATACGGAATTGTTAGGTACACTTATTTGTATGTACTTGATATTTATGGTGCATGAGATGGTTTTGTCTGTTAAACTACTTTCCTTCCCCTCTTTTTAGTACCTTTCATCATTTCAAGGCGCGACTTCAACTCCAAAATGTCCACAAGGCTCCAACAATAATAAAAAAAAAAGAAGATGGAACGTTTAATAGTTGTTAGTACATTCGTCACCCCTGTAAAAAAGTCGATCCGTTTTTTGTATTCCATCTTTTTTCGTCAAAGGCTCATATTTACGGAGTTTTTACAGAAATAATGGACAAAATTTTTTATAGGGCACTCCATGTAACCTATACAATCCTGATGTAACTACCAATTTGTAAAAAGAAATAACTTGCTTGAAATAAATCAGTACTTATTCGGTTTTTGCATGAATTATTGAATTATCATAATTCAAATAGTGCAATCTTTAAATCATATGATGTTACATAACAAATGCAAAATTTTCCTTTTTCATCAGATTTTTTCTGAAGTTTATAATACTGTAATTGCTGCAAATTTCTTTTACAGTTATAGAATATAAGTATTATAATATTATAATTATCTAAGTCTAAGGATTGTAAATTCAGGATACTTTGAATTCTCAAAAGTGAAACTATTACTTGTAAGTATTCTAATTTTTTGGTTTAAAAATTATAAACTAAAGTGAAATCTTTAATTACTAATTTTAATTAAATACTTTATATTCATTGAAAAATGTAATTTGCAATTGTATGATCCTAATTCCTAAATCATGTGATTATTAACCAATTAAATTTTAATTTTAATGATATTATTTGTTATTAAGAACACTTTTTAAAAATACTTTATAAAATGGAAACAAATTAATTTTTTTATAATAAATATATGACATTATTAAATATTTTTTAAGCATTTTTAATTAACAGGTGTAAAACTGGTTTATAATAGTATATTTAAGAAATTATATCATATCACATAATTACAAAATATTCTAAAATTTTAAATTACAATAATTCCATTTATATTAAATCTGCAAATATAAAATACATATCCTTAAAATCCACTTAGCAAGTTTTAGCAAGTTGAATTTAATTATACAAAGATATTAAAATACAATTTAAGTAAAAATAGTGATTCTATAAATATAATCTTATTTACTAATTATTTAATTTGTTTGATTAGAGCTTTCAAATAAGCTATAGATCATTAAATTCTAATTGTTAAATAGCAAATATCCTTAAAAGCTTAAAATACTATTATTATTTTTTAATTATAAATAATCATTTAACATCTAATAACTATTTTAACCATTTTGGATTATAATTATTAATTTACAAATCTTATTTTTTTCTATTCTGTAAATTCAAGATATATTTTTAGAATTTTGGTTAAAGTAAATTGACTTTCTTTATTAATTAAAAGTTGTTAAGCAGGTTTTAAACTGCTAGGATCTTAATTTTCATGATAGTACATTCAATATTCATAAAGTTATCTACATTTTTACAATGGTATTAATTTACAAATTTTATTTTTTTGTTCTGTGAATTCAAGACATATTTTTAGTTGAGCATTTTGAACAAAGTAAATTGATTTTCTATATTAATTGAAAGCTATTTAACTAGATTTAAAAGTACTAGAATTTACATTTTGTAATTAATACATTTAATACTTACAGAATTGTTTATTTTCTACAACTTGTACAGTTGTACTACATTTTTTAAGATAATATTTGCTGCATTTTTAAATAAATAACAAATATTTTACTATTTAAAATTTAATTTTTAATAATTAATTTTTTAATATTTTAAATAATAATATCTATTTTTTTTAATTTAAATTTTTTTATTATTATTTTATTTATAAAAATTAAGTAGAAATTCATATAATTGTTAAAAGAAAATAATGTATTTAATTATGTAAAAGATGCTTCAAATTTGATAATATAGAATTAAGATATATACAGTAAATAGAAAGAAATATGGAGGTAAACATTTAACTAATTTGTTATGCAAAATATTAAAAAATATGATGAATTTGCTTTTTATTGAATAAATGAAAAGTTATTATATAGATTATCCAAAGGAATATGTTTATTATATTTAACATAAAAATTTTTTGGTATTTAAACAGATTTCAACTATTTATCTTAATAGAATATTATATGAAAATATATTATTATACAGATATGATAAACAGGAACAAGGAGGTTAATTTTAAAAAATTGTTTAATTCTGAATAAGATAGATTCCATTCACTTTTTAAACAATTACTGCAACTAAAGCCTTTAATAAAGTGGCATAAAGGATATAGTTGATAAAAAAAAGCAAATAGTAAGCAATAGAAATCATAAGTAATATAGTTATATATAACTTTAAAGATTTATTATTTTGCATATATTAACAAACAACAATTTACTTGAATTTCTTAAATCATTTTTTTGATCAAGAATTAAAAAGAAATTTACTTTGAACCATTCACTCCTTATTAACATTATCATTTAAGCCTGATTTATATCCAATAATTTCCTTTTGAGCAAGCAATAACTCATCTTGTAAACTAATAATTTTTGTTTTCAAAAATTCAACTTGAGTTGTTAATTTCATGCATCCAATACAACCAAGATTAATCAATTCCTTTATTTTAAGGGAAAAAAAGTTTATTATTATAAATATTATTGTTAAAATAAAAAAAAACATAATTAAATATAAAATACCTTTTTAACTGATCCTTCAGCTGCTGTGTCTATTAAAGGTATTGAAGAAGATTGTTCATCATTATCATTTGTTAGGTCTATTTGCATTGGAGAAAACTGACAATCATTTGGAGGATGAATTGTTAGAGTTGAAGAATCATCTGAAGTAATTGGAGAATTATCTGAAATGATTGCTGAAGGAGTAATCACTGAAGTTGAAGGAGTTACAATCTAAACGTGAATAGTAGAATAAAAAAAATTAGTACAAAAATAAAGAAACAAAATTTAAAACAGCAAAACTTACCTCATCATATTTTATAAGTTTCTTTGTTTTAAATTCTTTAGCCTCAGAAAACTTTATAATCGTATATGCTGGACCAGAGAATCTTTTACCCTTCATTGTATGAAGAAATACACATGCATCTTCATATGTATTAAAATGTACAACCCCATACCTGAAAAATGTAAATTTACATTAAAGACAAAAATACGAATAAATGAAAAATTGATATTTACTTACCCTTGTTGATCCTTCTTAATAACATGCACAAATGGAGGAGAATTTATGGATTTTAGCCATGTTTCAATTTCTTTTATACCAAGATGGTGGATATTTCCACAAAAGAAAACACTGTGGTTATCCTTTCCACATCCACTACAAGAGTTTTCTTTATAAGAAAAAATTATATTAACATTTCGTGATAGATATAATGATAATAGTAATAAATATAATAAAGACAAAATAACTTTATAAAACATAAAATTAAGTTTTCATACTTACCAAAGAATGACGACATTGCAAGGTAAATAGTAGAAAGGAAAAAGACACGTTATCAGTTATAAAAATAATTTTAGGGTATTTATATATTTATAGATTTAGTTCACGAGTTTAATGCATAATCAATTGTTTGTTACACGACTTTGAAAAATCATTTTATATTGGTTATATCGTAATAAAAAAAAAAATTTGTTCGGTCTATCGGTCTAACAAAATAAATAAACAATAAAATATATAAGGTTAAAATCAAATTTAAATCGATTAGGAAACGATCAAAAAAAATTTTTTCCTTTTTTTTTAAAAAATTGTTAATAATTACGAGTTTTTTAAGAAATATATATATATATATATTTTTGTTTCTCATGTTCGTCCAAACAAAATTGATGTTTTATAGCAAATTTTATATAAAAATTGTAAATCATTTAAAAAATGGCGCGTAACAATCGACAATCGATGGCAGAAATTTATTGCTTGAAAGATATTATGGCAGAATTTGTCAATCTCTACCTGTGGTAAATTAATCATTAATGATTTAATCCACAATAATTTCATTGAGCGTTTTTTTAGTCCCGTTTCTGGTATATATGAGAGTTGTATCGTCTCTAACAATCCGGGGACACCGATTTTTAACCTGACCAAGATCTTTATCGTATAATGCTTGGATTTTAATGAGAAGTGGAGTTGCATCATTAGTTTCAACTCGTATTTTGCTGAGAAATCTTTCGAACCGCAATATGACAATTTTTTCTCTCTAATCTCCTAAGCAAATGACTGCAAGAGTACCGTAATACATTGTTATGAACTCTGATTTTTTAACATGTCAAGATACATCCGAATTGTCGAAAATTCGAGCCATCTTAAGTATAAAATTCTAGAGATGAGAGTTTAGATATGTTTGAAATCGTCTATCTTATATCACTCTATCTTAAGGAGCACACAAGTCCTTAATAATCCCAAGTAAATTCGATACCTTTCAGCCCAGTAAACTTTATAATCAAAACGTAATTAGCTGTGACGCTTACGTTTTTTTTAGTAACATAGAATCTGTCAAGGAAAAAATTTATGTAATATTATCTAATCTTTATTCATAAGATTAATTTATTAACAGCTAATTCATGAACTCTAATCTATCATCAGGACATCCAAAAATGTTTTAATTAGATTAAGGTTTACATAATGAAAACTTTTTTCTAGATTAAATAAAATAAAAAAAATTTAATTGAAAATATTGAAAATAATTTTCCGTGTTTAAAGGCCACGTGACAAAAAAAAAAATAAAATATCGGGACGACCGGAAGGTCTTTATAATGATTATTTGAATTATTAGAAATAAATCATTATAGGTTATTTTCTAATGATAATAGATCCAGCATCTAATATTAATTGATCAATTTGATCTTTTATTTAGTTATATAAGAAATAAAACGTGTATGGTTAATAAAAGTTTTTTAATATTTTTTTTTCTTGCAAAAAAAATTTATTTACCTTTAGAATCGAAGACTCTTCTTTTTCTTCCGACCAATACGACATTTTTTGTACTAGGAATTCTCAACCAATCAATTTCTGTAATAAACCCGCATTTATTTATTATATCTTGAATATATTCTTGATATGCTTTATATTTTCCTGAAGTTATTACTTGATTCGGAAATGTATATTTTGAACCAGATAATGAATAGAAACAACATGGAATCACCATTAGCCTAATTAGAAAATAAGGAATGATTAATATTTAATTTATTTAATTAAAAAATTAAATTAAAGAAATTTAACAATAACTAACTAACTTTGTGAAAGACGATGATTTTGAAGCTATTATAGGTATCCTACGATAATTATAACGATCAAGGATTAATCACAAGCGTCGCAAGCCAAAATAAAATATGACATTCAAAACAAGTAGCTAAATATTACCATGGAACTAATTCATCAGCATGATTCCCTATTATCCAATCTGTACTAGGGTAAGTTATTGAATTCGGCTGAATTGCCTCCTCTAAGTGAAAAAAAAAATTCTTTGAGTATTACTATCCAATAATATATATATATATATACATATAATAAAAAGAACTTACCTATCAAATTAGCGCCCTTTTCAATAAATTTATCCCATATTTTTCTTTTTCTTAAATCTACTCCAAATCCAGTGTATCCTTCAGATGATAAAAGAAAAGTCAACAATCCGTTACCACAACCTAAATCAATAAAAGATTGTAATTTTGAAGATTTTTGTTCAATTCTCTCTAATTCCCATAAAGAAATTAGCCAACTTGCTATAGCAATATCTTCAAATACGAATTTTACTGGATCAGTCTTTTCCGTCCAATTTCTTTTATACGTACAATATAAGTTGTATATTAACATAGAATAAATAAATAGAATAAAGGGGAAATATAAAAAAAAATTACCTAACTAAATCTGTCGCATATTTATTTTTTAATCTTTGATATGTTTCTTTATATAATTCTTTCGGTACTAGCAAATCATGATGAACACGCTTTTCATAACCCATTGATGTATTTTGACACCACTTATATAATTTTTTAAATAATTGTTTATATACGTATTTCTAAATTTAAAAAATTTTAAATTTTTAATTTTTAAAGAATAAAAATGAGCAAATCAAACGACCTGTTAAAAGACATACCATTTTATCAGTAAACTGAACAGATTGTAAGGGAATAATTTCAATTGATATTTGTGATTGATAATCCATATCTGAATCACTGTTGTACTCCTTGTAAACATAACTAAAACTAAATACCTAATTATGCAAAATTGTTAGTAAATAAATTTACTATAAAATTATAAAATATTTAATAAAACGTTTATTACCTTCGGATAATAAAAAGGAACATTTTCTTGTGAAGATTCTTTAGAATTCGATATTATTGGTGTGTAAATGACTCGACTTTCTAATTGAATAAATTGTGATTTACTACCATAAATTGGTTCATTAAATTTTTATAAACGCTTATATACCGTTCAAATCTTCATCCATATAATATTCAACTAGTTCTTCTAATTCTTCATCTTTGTTCTTTCTTTTAGGAATCAATTTTCTTTTAATACTTCGTACAGGATTAATATTTGCAGACAATTCATCATGTATTGATCCTTGATATGTTTTATTTTCAATATCACTTATAATATCTACTCGTTCAATTGGTGGAATGACTAAATATACTTCATTAGTCCAACGTTCCTATTGCAATTTTTTTAAAAAAAAGAAAAGAATCTTTCAAATAAAATATTATATACAATTCGTTTTTTTTAAAAAAAAAAGATTATATATTTACCACAACGTTCCAAAACATGTCTTTATTAAAAGAAACATTTGCTTCTGCAATAATGTACCATAATTTATTATTCCATAATTTTGGAGGTCGATTTTCTTCATCAGAAAAATAGTATTTTGGTTCAAATGTCGCGTTGTTTATGGAATTTTCTTCTGTTAAAGTAATATTATTTGATAACATTTATTTTAAAATTTTTTTTTTTTTTTTAGTTGATTGTCGAAAAAAGTCAGTCCTTTATCATGAAAACTAAATGCAATTCGACGATCAGACGATCAATAATTGATAATATCTATTTGTTGAAATTTAGCAAAAATTAAAAATTTATTAAATTTATTAGAAAATAATTATTTATTATTACGTTAACGTGCTTAGTTATTGTTCTTCAAAAACAGATTCTACTTATAATATAATAAATAATAAATAATTTAATAAATATGTAATTCCATGGAAATCTTGATCTAATGTTCATTTAAGAAATCTCTTAATTACAGTTTAAATTTATGACTAGTCCAAACTTCATAATCATTTCACTCAATGATTTTAACGCTTTAATTCCAAAAAAGTAATTCTTATAATATCATCCCATGTAAATCGACTTTCCTCTTGTAGCAAAATTAGTATATTTCCTAGTTACTACTTAAAAATTCATTAAGAATTTCAATAAAAATCGCTTGAGTTTGAGTTACAAGATAGTAGTATAGTATTGTTCGTAATGTCATCACCCGAATTGTTAATGAGTTTAGGGGCCTTCTTGAAACCATGGGAACTTCTAGCATCATCAGTTAATCCAACTATATATACAGTATGTAATATGTAAAGTTTAAAAGATTTATTGCTTGAATTACATTCAATAACAACATATAATAATAAATAATTACGTACCGTAAGGAACCATCATTATAAGCATTGTTTACATAATGGAGTTACTTTAACCATCTACTGTAAAACCAATATTCGTTCTTAGAAATTTTTTTTGGTGGAGAGAGTTACTAAAACTTTAACGCTGATTCCAGGCGCCATGGTAATTAAATCACTGATATTAAGATATTTCATCTCATGCTAAGTTCTAATTAGAATTGTGAATTAATATATATTCAAATTAAGCTAGTTGCTTCTAATGTATCATACAAGTTAACTAATCCTGTACCTTGTTGAAGGGTTGGAGGTAATAATTTTTTCGATTTACATGAGTAACATCTTGAAACATGTGAGGGTCACGGGACACACGTTAATTCATGAACGCAGTTCTTTAATTGTTCAAAAGATTTCTGTTTTAATATAATGCTGCTACATCAGACATGTATGGTGCAGCTGTGCTTGTCCAGATTGAATCAGATAAAATGGTTTGTCAATTAGAAAAGCTGAAAAAAAACTCCTCCGGGTGCACAAATATTAGATATATATAGAATAAAAAATTCTTTGAATTAACGTAAAATATTAATAACTTACTTTAATATCAAGTTTATCAGTTAATCTCAATTTTGAAAATACAAAAGGAGTTACAGTAAAGCGATAGATCTTCCATACATTCAAACTTATCAGAAAATCTAATTCTAAATTTGGATGTTTTGAAGGATTAAGTTATATCAATATTATCATCAAATGTAAAATGTAGCTAACACCCTTAGTCGATTTTATTATTAATTTTCAAATTCCCAGGAATTTTGAGATATTCTATAAAAAAATGTTATTCAAAGAAAGGATATTGCTTGATTTAACGTTTTTTAAAAGAAAATTCTCTTTTATAATATAATAATATAATAAAAGACTTACTTTATCATCTAATGGGCATTTGTTTGATTTCTATTATCGACGATAACTAATTTGTTATTAAATTCTTTTCGATCATTATATCTATCGTAATAATTTAGATTTTTCGAGAGGAATACTACGGTATTATTCTGATATAATCTATATTTTTTATAAAAGGGGAAGAAAAAATAAAATAAATAAAAGTACTCAAATAGCAAAAAAACCAAAATCCTTTATACTTACTAGGAAAAAAATTTGGATTCTTTGTGACAAACTTTAATTTAAAAATTTATTTGTTACGATTGAACCGATAGCGATGGCGCTATTGTAACAACAAGTTGCTCATTTGTTGATATATCATCATTTCTTGATGCTGCTACAACACAATGTCCGCAAGTTTTCTGCAATTCCAGATATTGTGCCACTTTGATGGTTAATGTATGCTACACGTCATATTGTTTGTCCGAATCAATATGGTTTGATTCATTAGGTCCTTGAACGATAGTAGAGCGAATAATTTGTCAATCATGAGTGAAAGGAATTTCCATTGTAACCCTATAAGAATGTATGAATACACATAATTATAAAAATAAATATTCAATCTATTAAAGAAATTATTTCAAAAAATTACGAGACTTATTATAACTTCCAACCCATCATTGACATCTCTCAATCGCTCTCATCATTGAAATCATAATTATTAACAGAAGCAGCATCAATGTCGGTATCACATGTTTACCTTAAATCCAGTTTAAGATCAGAACCTCCAATAGTTGCCGCTACATAAGTTTCATACTCAACAAAGTCATCGAACGGATCATTAGTTTTCGTCAATAAAATTATAGCTTCTCCAAGGGTAGGATGTCTATAGTAAATACCTGATATTAATTAATTAATTAATTAATTAATTAATTAATAATAATAATAATAATAAGGATCTGTAAGTTCAACTTTTTTCACACCAGTAATTTCATTAACGGAATTAATATCATTATTGGTGCTATCAGAATTGTCCTAATAAGAAGATTTAACGCGTTTAGTTCTCTCTATTATTAATATTAATCGGACCAACTGGTCTGATTAAACTCTCTAATGGTCACAGTCTCATATTAGTCATTACTTTATAATATTAAATACTTACCACGGGTTCAACATGTTCGATTTTCAGTTAGTACATTTAATTCTACGTTTTTAATTCTATATATGTCAATATTCTTTTCCCCTTATTATGTATTATAATAAGATCTTTTGGTGTAGGTCTAATTAAGTGATAGAAAAAAATAAGTTGACCCTCATTTTTAAATTTATAATTTATAAAAAAAGTTTTTCATTTTATAATCTTATTTTTTTTTTTCTTTTTTTAAAAAGTTCGAGATGTTTTGCGAAATAAATTTATTATTTCACTAATCATTATTAGAAAAAGAAATTAATTACCTATCTATTTTATAAATTACGGATAGAACTGGCCTAGAGAGAAGAGCGTAATTTAATGAATCTATAATATCGATTAAATAGGGATCGTTCGTTACAAATGTCAAAAATGATAAAAATGATAATCGAACAATTGTCAATCATTGTTGATTTTTAAAATATTTCGGGCAAGTAACACAGCGAAAGCATGTGCAATTTACCATTTTAGTCAAGCCGTAGCAGACTCCCTCCGTATAATAACATTTTATTAAATAAAAAAAAAAATGAGAATTCTAGGAAAAAAACCGAATTTTTGAATTCATTCGAAAAGAAAAGCAATATCATTTTCAAAAAAAATTTATTATAGAATCTTTTCCAATCGGAATTATTTAAATATAAAAAAGCTATCGGAGAATTTTAGCAATTTCTGGATAGAATATTTCAAACCTTATTAAATTAACCTGATTTAGAAATAATTTAAACGTCATTAATCTAGCATAAATGTATTTTTTTCTAAATTGAAAAAATGATAATCCAAAAAACTTTATTATTTCATATTTGAAAAAAAAAAATTAGAATAATGATCGCTTTATAATATTAATTAGACCAACTCAATTTAATCTATCATATAATGATTTGGTATAAGCTATTCATACTATTCATACTATTTCATACTAAAATTTTTTCGGTCATTACATAATCGTGCCTACACAAAGCATTATTATTATTATTCGTGAATGCATAAATTTTCATGAGAAATTTTATCGATAAAAAAAAAATAAAAAAAAAAGCAAAATAATAAAACTATCGCAACTGTGATGTCATACGCAGATCATCTAATACGATATTGTGTAGCGTCAAACAAACATATATTTCAATTTTTTTTTTCTAAAAAAAAAATTCCTCCCCCCCCTTTTTCTCTTTTCTTTTTCTTTTTCTTTTACTTCTTGAAAATATGGCTTCAAAACTAAATGATGATTGTTTATCTTATATTTTTAAATATTTAGAAGAAGATTCTTTTTCCTTATTTGCCTGTATTCTTGTAGATAAACAATGGTGTCGAACTGCTGTCCCGATTTTATGGAGTAATCCTTGGAATGATAATAAAAGATATTATGGCAGAGCGATCAGATTAATTGATACGTATGTTTCAACTTTATCGGAAGAAACGAAACAAGATTTAATTAATGAAATTATCGTTAAACCTAATATTATGATGACTAGTGCAACTTTTGAATATGAAAAATTTATGAAAAACTTGAATATTTTTGAACTAGAATATCGTATTAGAAAATGGGTATCTTCTCAACCTGTTAGATTTGATTTTACGAATACAAATCAACGTAAAATGAAAGGAGGAAAGAATAATAGAAATGGCATACTTCAACCAGATTATGATCGTGATACTAGAATCTTAATGTCAGAACTTTTATATTTATTCCTGGTAAATTCTTCAAAGATCGATACTCTTTGTGTTTCAGATTTTGATAAGAATTTTTCATTTATTTTGAAGATTGCTGATGAGGAACCGGAAGCAAGAAAATGTTTACAAAATTTACAACATTTGAGGATAAGCACACATCAACCAATATCAACATGTTTAATGAAATTATCAGATATTTCTCGTAATATTGAATATTTGGAAATTGAGAATTGTAATATTAATTCATTCGAATTAAAAAGATTGATTAATGTACAAAATAATTTGAAAAATTTAACGGTAGAATTTGTTGTGAATCAACCTTATCAAATTCATAATGTTAACAATGTTTTAAGTGAATTATCATCAAAGGCTAAATCGATCACTAGGATTAAAATCAAGGATGCTGCTGATATATTTATAATTTTTAACAGTTTTGTGAATTTAATTGAATTAATTATTAATAATACGGATAAGTGTGATTTAAAAAAATGGGAACATTTATCAAAAGTAGAATCATTGAAAAAATTAAAGAAATTAGTTATTAATAATAAAAAGGGACCGATTTATTTTAATATTATAGCGGAATTTATTGAAAGATCTTCTTGTGATCTGGATCAAATAGTTATTTCAACAACAAAACCTCAAGATCCTACTTATATAGGTAAATTAATTAATTCTATTAGTAGGACTTGTCCGAATCTTACGGTATTTGAGGGGTTGATAGGTAATAATCATATAAATGAATTTTCTCAATTATTACAAACTTGTAATAATTTAAAATACTTACACATTTATCCGGTAAAAACTTCTTGGGAGAATGAGGTTTATAAATTTGATGATATTTTACAACAAATGATACAATATTTACCATTTAATTTAAATAAGTTATTTTTGGAGGATGGTTGGTTAATTTCTGATGTTAACTTGTTTAAAAAATTTTTGGAAGGAAGGAAATTATTGGAATTATCATTGATCTCTTTTCACGCTTATCGTTCTATTACTTACAATTATCAAGAATTGGAGGATATATGTGAAAATTATAAGGAGAATGATTATTTGTTAGATTATCACTTTTATTCTAAATAACAATTATACTATATACTATACAAAAAACTTATATATATATATATATATCACATTGCATATTTCGATGTTATTATGTAAATAAAAAAAAACACCCGTGCGTAACTCTCAATTTCGTTATAATTTTTTTTTGATTTCACGTGCGTAAAAATTTTTGTAATGTACTGTAGATCACGGCGCAAATAACGAGATTAGACCTTGTATTTGTTTTTTAAAATTTGATTACAATATGATCGGTTGACAATTATAGAAAAAACTTAAATGCATCAGATTATATAATTTTTAGTACGTCATTTTCATGTGAAACAATTCGATAAATTATTTGATTTGATGGAATCGTTAACATACAATTGCTGCGGTTCATTGTCCATAACTCGGAATATTTTTTTTTTTTATATTTTACATTACGATTTAAATGATATGTAAAATATTTTGTTACCTTTTACTTACTTACTACTATATTAAGGATGCATAATACTATAGCACTTTTTTTTTATAAAACACATACTAAACAAGCATATGATGATCAACCTGGTTTTGCAAAATTCATGATTGGTCGGTCAATTGGTCAGGATAGCAATACAAGGACTAAATTTAATAAAAAATTTAAGTCTTTTAATGAAGTATATTACAAAGCGTCTGATCTGTAATAATTGCATGAACTAAAGCCAAAAAAGATATAGTAGCGCTGTAGCGCTTAGTGTAGTCGTACTAAATTACTGTTGTTTGTAAACAAGAAATAATATGATGCTACAGATAAAGACCGAACTTAAAAAAATAAAGAAACGTGTGTTGTCTAAAAAAAGATCGAACTTTGTAATGCAAATTATTTGATGACAAAATTTTTCCAATTGGCCACATTTGAAGAGCACATACTGTTAATTCATGTAAGAGCGAAATCAATTTTAAGAATCGAGAATAAAAATCGTTAATGCGGATTTAAGGTTGGAATTAAATCAACGAAAATCGAAACAACATAAAAATCGATTCGTTTTGATTCGATTCTAAATAATTTTTTATATTGTATTGCCTAAATTCCGATTATTTCGCTATCATTCGGAAGTCAGGCTTGACCTTCTATGAAAAAAAATTTAGAGATCCGATTGAATCGATTCTAATGGTCCATTGGCAAAATTTAATCCAAACAGTATGCTTAATAAGATCTATTATTTTTCGCAAAATTCAAAGTAGAATATAACGGGCAAAGCTAAAATAATAAATGTAAACAGGTTATTAAGAATCCAAAAGCATAATCCAATTTCGAATTAAGACGATAATAATTGTAAATAAAAAAAACGAAATGTGAATTTTTACATGACAAAATAAAATTGCTTCATCATAAAGTAAATTTTGCACATATCTTAACGTGTTCCAATATAGGGTTTCTTTATTTATCAAATATTTGTTCTCATATTCTATAAAAAGTTTTAAATTTTTGGAACTTAAATAATTTATTTATTTACTTATTTATTTTTTGAAAATAAATCAAATGCTTTATATTTTTTTATGGACTTTTTATTTATTTATTTAGACGCAATTTCTATCTAAAATATAGTAAATTTTTCAAATCAGATATATTCATATGCAGCGTAATTTGCAAGATTCTATTGCGCATTAAAAGTAAAATCCAATGCAAGTGAAGTAAGTGAAGTGATTTACATTATCATCTAATGAAATTGTTAAAATCATATCTAATAACGGGTTTATAGAAGTTAATATGATCTATTTTATATTAATGATGGATTGAGCACTTTGTTACTCGAAATTTTAAACAGTATATGTTCTATTTACTTTATCAAATATTCAAGATAATAAACCTAATAATAAAGTTTGTTATTAAAATCCGTCAAATATAATCAAAATTTTACTTAGAAAAGATTTGATATTCTGAGAGTATTACGTCTTTTCTTAAATTGAATAGTTAATACCTAAATAGATTACATAAAAACAAAAAAAAAATAATTCAAGTATAAATTATACATAATTCCTACTATGCAAATTTCAATTGATGAATTACTAAAATTAATTACGGCAACGGATCAGTTTAGATGAGCTTCTTGTATGACAAGCAGTTTACATACACATTTGCATGATTCTACAGAAGCTGCACCTTTTCACTATCACGCACCACATAATAGCTCTCCATTATACACGAGGCGAATTAGATCGAATTAATCCGGTGGCGTAATAATTATGCACGCCGCCGTAATGTCGTAATGCCGAATTACTAACCTGTGATTCGGTGATAATATTACGAAATAACTGGAATTTGTAAAAAATAATATATTGTATCATAAGATTACAAACATAAGAGTTATTTAATAGTATTCACAACAAAGATCAAATTATAAACCAAACCACTCCCATAACTCTCCCATATAGCCCACAAACAAGACTTAAAAGAAAAAAGTGGAAATTAGATCGATGAGATAATTATTGGCGAAAAATTAAATTATTTAATTTATTAAAATAAAAATAAACAGATAAAATAAAAGCATACCTAATATCCTACTGTCCTAATTCTTTACACTGTCGTTCGTTGCATAATCTACCAAATGCAGAGAGAAACGGAAAATGTTAAAAAATCGATTTATTCAAATTTCTTTTTTTTTAAATAGAACAATTGAACTTACTAAGTGTCTTATTGTTCTAATCATCTACGCGATCGTTCGTTTCCAAAATGTCGTCGAAAATGAAGAGAGGAACGCTTAAAAAAAATAAAGAGGTAACAGGACGAAACCGATGGAGGGTATTATTATGAAGATGGAGGATTTGAAGACAAGTCTCACTATTTGTGAATCCAATTATCTCATCGGCATCTGCTTTGGATGAATATTCCATTTTTCGCTTGATAATATATCGCGTGGCATTATTTTTTGCCTCGATCAGCATGATAACAACACGTTCATAATTAGATAAAAAATGTTTGTTAATATGTTTGATTCAAGTTGTAATCCGAAATGTACACAGATAACCCACATACGGGTAGAGACTTCGCAATAGAATGCTTTGAACAAGAAGTCGTTGAATTTAATTTACATAAGATGAAATTAGACTCTCTCTCGTCTCTGATGGCCCAATAATTATCCTAGTCGTCATCGTAAGCATCGTCATTATAGTCATCGTCGCCATCATCAGTCTCGTGTTCATTGGTATAATTTACCTCGGATTCATCACATCATTTATCTGCATCTATTAATTCTAGGGCATTCAGAAGTTCGTATTCTGTACTAAGATCGGTTAGTAAATTTCGTTCTATAGCTAAAAATATGCGTTTATACTAGGATACTTATCTTTAATTTAGCGTTTTAGAGTCTTTTGGTTTATAAACAGTAGCATGATGAGGGTCGTATCTATCCGTGAAAGTCATGTGAATCGATTTAAGGTCACCTGAATTGCGCAGTATGATATTCATTGCTGAAAGAACAGTCGTAAGATTCGCATGTGCAATATGCTCTGACAAAAAGTCTTCCATCCATTTATTTCTCGCGATTACCATCTAAGAAAACTGAATTTCCACGTGTGGTTCTGGGATGTGTGAACTAATCATTAGTGATTAATTGATTAATGGATCGCTACGAAATGGGATCTTATTCCTGCGGGATTTCAAGCGCTATATTAAAGCGAGAAGCCATGTTTTTGACTTCGCTCGAAAAACGTTACCATGGAAAGCCATGAGAGCTCATCTAACTCTGAAGTCCCATCTAACACAGGAAATCTTAACAATATGGAAGATATCATAATTGTCGCCGATCAAACTGTGACCATAATTTCATTCGCTACCTCTATCATATTCTGTCTGAAAAATAATTAATAAAGAATCTTTAACGTAAAGTATATGCACCTGAATAGAAAAATTTACTGCGTAACTGTGCGGTAATAGTAAAAAAACCTTTTATTTTTAGGTATCTGTAATGATTGTAATCAATCTCACTATGACGTAATATAATAAAGGATATATATTTGATTATTCACAACGCTGAATTCTTATTTCTTTCTACATTCTTTTTCAACGTAGATATCGCAAGAATGGTGATCTGGGCCAAGTATAAAGGAAATCCCTTTAAGATAAAAGCGTTTAAACAAACAATCAAATTGGAACTGCCTTAATGCACTGAAGAAATAAGTTAAAACAGAACTACCAAATAAGTTGAGTAACTTTGATATCGACGATACAACAATAAGAGCACATGGAAAAGAAGAGAGTTTACGTTCGGATATGATAATTGATGAAATTTATAACTATGACGACTGTTTATATTGAGGTCGTTGATGTCGGTAAGCTTCAAGTCAAATACTAATAATTTTTTTTTATTCTCCTAATATGCATTAATTCTTGCCAAACTCCTACTAATTCGAAACTTGACTTATAAAAATAACTTTCTTTAAGTCGGTATGTTCTAAAAAATAGGATGAACACCAAGGTAAAGCCTTTGCGTGTTTGCGTCATAATAATTTGACAATTCGAACGGTGATGTGTCAACCTTTTTTGACTAACTCATGTTGCAGAGAAATGTCAATTACTGAATCACATGGATCTAATAAAAAGCGAAAATTGGGTAAGCTTTTGCATTTTATAAAATGAGTCTCAGAATCCCGTAATTAAAGATTTTCAAATTATTACTTTTTACGTGTCAGACTCGTTATTTAAGAGTATCTGTGAGGTAGTGAAGAACCAGAGAGCCCAATTATGCTTCTTTGTCATGAATTGAAAGGGAAATCAAATGTTGGCTTAACAAAATTCCCATTAATGGCAAGTCTGGCATAGAAAAATCGTATTTCTTTAAAGCCTCCGGTAATCGCACTATCTACCAAATGGAGTTGGAACCAAGTACCAACAATTTGAAGGAATTATTATATGAAGGAATAGTGTATGGAACCATGGTCGCTAAGGGCCTGTCGACAACATGCCTTTCCAATAGTGCCCAAAGAAATAGTGACTAATATTTACCGCAAAGCGGGTGGTATTCCAAGATACGTCCTTGGCTGAAATCTCATTAAAAAATGTTAATTTGCGTTGATATTGATAAAGAAGGAAGACCAAACAATAAAGAGAAAGAGAAGATCGAGATAAATGCTTTAACATGCCATTTCCGAAATTGATGATTTCGATAAGATTATAAAATACTTCAATGAAAAAATGAAAAAAACAATGCCCATGTTGAAATAAGTAATCGTATAATGCACCGGTAGTCGGAGCCTAACTACAGTTCACCCTCGCTATAGTGAAGCTCATGGGCTGAAGGTTAAGATTCACTATAGTAAGGGATTCACTATAGCGAAGGTGAACTGTATTAAGAATTATTATTTATATAGAAAATCCGTACCTGAGCTTTTCTTTACTATAGCAAATTATTCACTATATAAAAATTCACTATAGCGAGGGTGAACTGTATTGTGAATACCACTTAAAATGAGCTTCCTCTTACGTATTCGATAGGATGCAGAAAAACCTAGAGGCAAAATTGTTTACATAAAATTCGAACTATGCAGGAGCAGCCAGCGCAAGGGGATGTTTGTTTGAGTGTTACGTAACTCACCTATTTCGTGTTGGTGCTATATATTTGAAACAAAATAGTTGAAAGGTACAGGCAATGACCGATTTTTCATAGACAAACCAAAAGTTGAAAGTGCATCGGATTTTCAAAGTCTGAGAAATATATAGTCATCGTGCCAGACAAACAAAATCTTAGTGCGGCAGACCTGCTGTTTGTCACACAAAAGTGTATTTCCAAGTCACTCTAAAAATCACCCCGTAAAACAGGTCGAACTGGTTAAAATAATTATTATTAACATGCCGGTATATCAAAATGCAAAGATTCGACTTTATTTTGTAGTACCAGACGATGTTTACAACACATTTGAACGTCAAGATTGTACGATACAAGATAACACTTCCAAAGAAGATCGTCCAGTTAAAAGAACGAATTCCATCCTTGATAGTGTTGAACAGTGAGCAATGAAGGTCCTATACTAGAAGGCAAAGATAACGGATAATAGTGAAAAGTCCACAAGCTAAAACCTATTATCATATACAATGAGCACCAAATCTCTTGCACGTTTTATTGACTAAGAAGTTTATTATCGTGAATAATAGCTTTTTAATACGTCTACCCACCCGCATAATAAAAAGTAGATATTTATTATCATTTATTAATAAAATTTGTTATTAATAAGATGTAATATTACGAGGCCAATGATCCATCATATAGCATTTTTTACGTTATATTTTTGCCTCGCCTTTATCTCCTGAGGAACCAGATAATGATGGAGGGTATTATTATAAAGACGGAAGATATGAAAGAAGATTATCACAAAAATCGGTTAATTATCTAAATCGTAATTCTGGTCAGATTATTATCTGGAGTGCGGATTTCGGTCACGTGTTTTCCAAATTCGAAGTTTAACGATAAGATTAATAAATATGCCGGGCGGGACAACTCCTCTGATTTTTTTGTATTAGATTACTTAGATAGTAACTTATATACTTAGCATAGTCTATCTTTTTATAAGGTTAGCAACTATTTGTTTTATATACGCCTCATGCCCTCATGATTCTAAAATAAAAAAAAGATTAATAAGATAAAGAAATGATTCCATAAAAATAAAAAACAGAAACGCCATATCGGATATAGTGTTACATAGAACATTGTTTTATGGGATGAATTAGAAACTGTTTTTAGGCATTTTTTTTTTTTTGTATAATTTATTCTATAATAATTTAGTTTATTATATGTATAAAAAGAATTATTTAAATTACAAACTAAAACCTTGTAAAAATATTTTACTACTCTAATTTTTAGTGTTTAAATAATTCAAAATAAAGTATAAATGAAAGATAAAAATAAATTTATTTGTATTCTTAATTTAGTTTATCAGATGGTATTTCTAAAAATAAAAAAAAAATAACAGATCAGAATACAAATTTATAGTAAAAGAAAAAAAAAATTATTTTTTAAAATATTTAATAACTAACCATCAGGAATTTCTAATTCATCTTGTTCTTCTGAATAGAGATTTGGACTATTATATACTTCTTCATCTATAAAAAGAAAAATGATTTTTTTTAGTTTAACATTATATAAGAGATAAAATTTTTAATATATTTAACAAATATTGAAAAAAAAATTTTTATCTTAATGATGTCCTTACCATTAATTGGTCCTTTTATTTGTTGTTGTATAGTTTCCTTTTTATTATCATTTTGAATGTCTATATTTTTAAATTAAATAAATAAAGCTCAATTTAATATATACTGTACTGCTTTAGTATGACGAATAATTAGAATTATTATACTTACCATTCTTTGAATTTATTTGTAATTTCTTAAATATTTTAGATAACCTTTTACTACTAGCTAAATAAGACAAATCTATTGATTATTATCATCTCAAAAATAATTTTAAAAAATATATAAATAAATTACCTTTAAAATAACTATTGATTTTTGACGTCTTTTTGTTACTTGAATTGTTAAAATCATCAACTAAAAATGGAAATTTAATTAATAAATAATTAATTAAAATGAAATTTATAATGAACACTTACCATTATCAGGAATATTAAAGTCATATGTTTTACTGTGAAATCCTATTTTTTTAAAAAAAAAATAAATGAGAAAATAGTTTAAACATTTATTATAATAACTAACAAAACAGTAGTAAAAAAATCAACCTTCTTGTTCTCCTATAATTATTTAAATTAAAAAAAAAAGAATTAACAATATATTCTAATGAATAATAAACAAACATATAAATAAATAATACCTTCTGTTGCATTCTTTGGTTCAGGTAGATTATCAAATTGATGAGTTTTACTTGTAAACAATCTGCTACTACTCGTATAATTTGAATTGGTTTTTGTTTCAGAATTATTTTTTGCTTTTGATTGAAATAATTCATTTGGCTTATTTTGATATGATAAATGAATTTCTCTTATTTTATCAACAAGTATATCAACATCAGGCCTTTTTGATGGATCAGCATCCCAACATTGTTCCATTAAAATTTTATACTCTAAAGGAATTTCTGACACAATTTCTGGTCTCATGCCATTAATTATATCCATTGCAAGATCATAATCATCATGTTCATAATTAATAAATGGTAGTTGACCAGATGAAATTTCCCACATAAGTATTGCAATACTATAAATATCAGATGCAAAAGTATATCCTTTTCCACTAATAACTTCTGGTGCTATATAGGGAAGATTTCCATATATACTTTTTGATGATTTATCAGCAGGTCCACAAAATCCAAGATCACTAATAGTCCAACCATCATTAAATTGTGAAAATAATATATTTCCAGAATGCAAATCTCTATGAATTGCATTCTCATTATGAATCCAATAAAGTGCTTCAATTATTTCATAAGCAATTATAATTTTTTCTTTCCATGTAAGTTGATTATAATTTTGTTGTAAATATTTTCTTAAATCCATATCCATTTTCATTATTACAAGCATATAATTCCCATCTGATATATCTTGTGTTAAACCATAACATGAGGCAATATTCGGCCATTTGGAAGTTATAGTTAAATGTGATTTAGCCTATAAAAATTTGTTATTAATAAAAAAGATTATTTAATATATAGATAAATTTAAAATACAAACCTCTTCAAACCAACTTTGATTTGCACTTTCAACATTTTCTAATTTTTTAAGTACTATTTCTACGGTTCCAAATCTTCTTAATTGTTGTTTTTCAGAATCCCATTCTCTATAATGTCCATTAATCCAATCTGCAGTATAAATTTCAGAGAATCCGCCTTTTGTTAGATATTTAATATTTTTGAAGTTATTATATGGAATCCATTCAATTACATAGCCTGGCCCAAGACATTCCATTTGACATTTTTGTATTAAATTATCAATATCATCATTCCCAGATGTCCAATTTGAAAAATTATCTTTTAAATAATTTCGAACACAATATTCACAATATAATGTCGCTAAACATTCTTGCTTACAAGTTTCACAAATTCTTTTTGTTCCTGAATTTAAAAGAATTTTATTTCTATCATAAGTCTCAGTTATAAGTTTAATTGCTACAGCTTTTTCATTATCTGTAAGAAGTTTATCAGTAAGAATGAATTGTTTTTGAAATTCATATTGTTTGTACATGTCAGTGTAAACATTATAATCAATTAACGAAGCTACTCTATTATTTGTTGCATAAACTAATTCATAACGAATAGCAGACATAATGCAACTTTATAAAAGTTTAAATAAAATGTATTTATTATTTATTGGTAAAAAAAACAAATTGGAAAAATGTGAAAAGGAATTTTTCTTTAGCCCCACTTAATAATGTAACCAAAATTCTAATTTTGGTATAGTCTGGATGTCACGTAGTAAGACAAGAAATTACACAATTTATAAACAAACAAAATAAACTATTTAGGATATGTTGTACAGTTAATCATTGATACACAAATATTTTTACATTTTAAAAATAGATAACTAAAAATAATGAATAATAAATTTTTAAACTAGGTAATTTTTCTTATTTTGATAGTTGTGCTACCCAGGTAATAATTTATTTATAGAATGTGGTTATTACCTAGCTTTTTAAATATCAGTTAAAGTAATTAGTTCTATAGAAAATGAATGTGATTGATTGAATAAGAAAATTAAGAAAGTGATAAGGGAAATATTTTGATTATTGTGAATTGATAGAGATTTAAAAAATATTGTAAAGATATTTTGGTTACAATTATTACGTAATATTAAAAAATATATCCTATACGTTAAAAATTACAAGCATTTTAGGTAAATAGAAATTAGTGTTACGTACATAAAAGATAGAATGATAAATTATTGTATGGTAATTGTCTAATTGAGACGAGTGAAGAAATTTTAAGTGATAAGAAATTTGGTTAATACAAGTGTTAAATTGACTTGTGAAACAGTATCAAATTATGATGTAATCATACGAAAGAAGAAAATAATCATACGACAAAAGTGGGTTATTTAGTAATAGGCGAAATAATAAATAGAGAATTTATTAAAAAGGTACAGAATTAAATCTATTATTATAGTATCAACTACATATTATACATAACGTGAGTATTTAAATGGGCGGAACAAATAATGAAAAACATAGAATGTAGTGACGAGAGAGGAGTAGAAGACAATAGAAGTATAATAGAGAGAATATCGAGATGGTATAAAGAATTAGAAAATATAGGTAAGAATAATATTTCGCTATGGTGTAATTTATGATAAAATTTTTATTCGTTATATTCATTAATTGAAGGAAAAATAGTAGGAGTGTCATTAATTTGAATTTGTTAAAAATATTCAGCTTATTTGTAGATATCATATCTGATATAGTTAAATAAAAACATATCATTTTTGTTTTTCACTCTATCGGTTCTATAGTGATGGTAGCATCTGAGATGGCGTCAGTAGCAGCGCAGGTAACGTATTTTCTGATAAGATTTTTTTCTTTATATAATACTTGGTATATCAGCGCGCAGTTGCGGTTTAAACAGCAGTAGTAGAGGCTTAAGTAACGGAGGAAGAAGCAATAGAGATACTTATAGCAATTTTACTCATCTGATAAATATGTATTCATGTTAAAAATACTAGCAATATTTACAGCAGTATCAGAAGTGGCTATTCGTTTAATTCAATAAAATTATAATAATACTTCAGTAGATACAAGTAAAATCATGCTTAAATGTGAGAATGTCTTAAAAAAATTTGAGAATACCGCACACGATGTTTAAATAAATCACGTGATAAAATACATTCATAAAAGTTTATAGGATTAATTAAATTTTAATTTTCCATTAATCATTTGGTTTAGAAATTATAATATTATATACATAATCTGGGTTTACACTCTTAACCTGGACCCGGATAAGTTCAGGATTCTATCGTTTTCCCAAATTTGTATATCATTCATCTGCTGGAAATTTTCAGGTTAATTGAAATAGATTTAAAAATCAATACTGTATAAATTTTTATAGTTTCAATAAAAGAATCATTTTTAAAAACTTGTTTTATATGTCAAAATTAAAATTTCGGTCTTAATTATTATACTTTGCTCTGATCTTGAACATTGTAAAAGTTTATTTTTAGTATCGATAAAAAATATTTTCAAATATAATGTTAACAAAAATAGTTTAGACTATCATCATAATCTGGCCATAATTTTTAAAGTGAAATGATTTAATAGAAATAAATTTTCTTTTTAAAGAAATTTTTTTTTTTAAAAAAAAAAAATGATTTATAAACGATTTTTATAAATATTTAATCATTTTATAATGAAATTAACATTAAATATTGAGAATAATTAAATATTAACAATATTAGATTCAAAATTCTCATTAAAAACTTAAATGGCAAACTTAATTATAATTTTGGCCATTTTTGTTTCTTGATTAATAATTTATAAAGGGAAAAGTTTTTAATCGTAATGTCAAAATCAATTTATGACAATAATGATTGCAACTTTACGTTAATTTGTTTTACTTTGTAACTTCTTTAATGTTCTAGTAACTAGTGTTTAACACATGTATTTTGACGCTCTTAACAAGTAAATAATCTTAAATAACTAATTTATTAATTTATTTCTTTATGGGGGAGACGTAAATTAAATACGGCTTAACGTATCAAAATACAAATATTCTTTAACGAGTTCGAAAATTATCATTTATTATTTTTTTATGTATTAAAAAATAATTTCATTTTCCTTTATTGCGCTTACTACTCTTTTAATTAACAAGTACTATTTATTTCCTTTGGCTTACACTTCTAATCTATTTAAACCATTATTAACTAAACTAATTGGTTCGAAATCCATATTATTATCATCACATTAGTTTAATATTTTTAATAGAAGATTAGTGGCATGGTAGTACGTAAAAACACACGTGCATGTGTACTAAGTCTATAATTATAAAGTATTTGATGTCAAAAAAAATTAAAAGTCTAAGACATTTCACATGTTTAGTCAAAAGCTTATGTCAAGTCTACGACAAAAAGTCATTTACGGAGTCACATGGAAATGTGACGTCACTGACGTGACGCTAAAAAAAGTTGATAACTTGATAACTATGATAACTCTAAAGTTTACTCCTATTTCTTCACGCACAATTGATACCATGGTAGACTGTATCACACACTATTTTTTGTAGCGGGTCACTACTATACCAAGTAAGCCGCTAATACCAATAGTCCACAATGTATAGTTGCCATATTTTATATTTTCTTAATTTATTATTCTAGCAAAATTTAATTACAAAAAAAAACGTTGATTATTATTTTTTGTTTATTTGTTGCAGCTGGTTAACCACTGGTTAACCTGTTATTAACAACTTTACCTGTCAGTACGAGTTAACCTTCCGCAAAAAATCTAGCGTATATTTGTTGAATATTCGCCAATAAAGAATATTTAAATGAGAAATTAATTACTCCTACTAATACTGCACTGTATTATAGTTATACAAGTTATCTATTTCTAAAAATTTTGACGCTTTTATTTTTGTTTTTTTTTCAAAATTATTAAAATTACATTAATTCTAGTATTTTGAGCATATAGTACATTATATTCATAATAATTTGCAGTTCACAATTTTTGCATCAAATGATAAATCTCTCCACAATGATGAAAAAACTGAAATAAATAATTCAGGAACAAAAAGAATTATGAAATTGTCTTAGTTATGGTACATTATATTGAGCATTGTGTTCAAAATTATTTAAAGGTAAAGTTTTCAAATTGGACATTTAAAAATGATGATATTATTAATTCAATTCAGAAATGTTAAATTAGAGCATTTGTAACATACAAATAAGAGTGGTTCCAACATACAGTAGTAATTTACAAGATACTAAATATGGATTCACGAAAATTTATAAATTTATATGGCAGTTTGAAATGACAAAGCTATAAAGCGGCAATTAATAAAGCATGAAGTCCATAATAAAGTAGTACGAAAATGTCGAAGATGCATATCTACAAATTGATTTGAAGATATTTGTAAACTAAATAATTATATATAAAAGAAATCAGTATCTAATGATTAAACAGTTTTTATTTAATGAATTTAGGTTTAGTCACATTTAACTAAAGGCAATAAATTAGAAGTTGTTGCTGATGTTTTGGCTTAATATAGATCCATTAAATGGAAATTGTGTCGATAATTAGAAAATCAATATAGAATTAAGAAGTTATTTACGACTCACATGGAAATAAAGAATTAGTATTGCTTATGTAATAATTAATGTACACTTTTTTATAACACCTTTAAAAAGTAATTCGTAGAGATATGTTATTTTATATTCGCGATTTAGTGATAATTGACTATATTAGTAATCTTTGATTTTATTGATCTTGTTTGTAAACCATCAAATAAGTATATATTGAAATACTTATTACAGTAAAGTTATTACTATTACTTTTGCATCTGATATTTTATAGTATTGAAATACTTATGTCAGTTATGAGAAAAATTTCATCTGAAATTTACCATTTGTTTATAATTACTATTATATTATGATCTTGCAATGGATATTATCGATAAGAAACTAAAAATTTATCATGAATATGATGGAATAATACCAATCCATTAAAATGATTAAAATGGCCTAATATCACTTAGAAAGAAATTAAATAAAATTTATATATCAAATTAAAAGTGGATTATAAATAATAATGATAAGAAAATATATTTAAAATAATGTTTTATATTAAATTATCTTTTACAATTTATTTAATTGCTCTTTATTTCGCACCATCTCGAAGAACCAGGTATTCCAAAGAAATGCATTATTTGTTACAAGAAAGTATTTATTTAGTAACGATGATTACGCAAATTATCGTTTATAGTGTAGTAGAAATTCTATTACAATACAGTGAGAGTAGGCATTATAATAGTATTTCATACTAAATCATATGATCTTAAGTATTACTAACAATAATAAATATTTTTTTTACGTACCAAATTATTCTATAATAAGATAGTAAACTGAGTAATTGACTTTTTATTATTTTGATAAACTAGTACTAAGTAATCTTTATATCAAATGAACGTCAATAAAAAAAATTGTTAACTGTAATGAAAAGAAATAATTCCAATAACAATAAAAAAAAGAAACGCCATAACAGATATGGTATTACGTAGATTATTGTCTAACATTTATGAGATAAATTAGAAACTGAATATTTTAGGTATTAAAAATATTTAAAATCA